TCTCCAAACAACGGAGGGAAACACGTAGCTCAGAACACCAAACAGAAGCGTAATCACACACAACACCAGACACACACAACGAGAACTAAATAGGACACTAATGAAGACTAACTAGAAACAGGTGTACATCACCAAGACAAAACCAAACGAACATGAAACATAGATCGGTGGCAGCTAGTACTCCGGGGACGACGACCGCCGAAACCTGCCCGAGCAAGGAGGAGGAGCAGCCTCGGCCGAAACCGTGACAGTATTGGAATGTATCCTATATGGTGTAATTAAAGAGTAGAGTATTGGAATGTATCCTATATGGTGTTATTAAAGAGTAGAGTATTGGAATGTATCCTATATGGTGTAATTAAAGAGTAGAGTATTGGAATGTATCCTATATGGTGTAATTAAAGAGTATTGGAATGTATCCTATATTGTGTAATTAAAGATTAGAGTATTGGAATGTATCCTATATGGTGTAATTAAAGAGTAGAGTATTGGAATGTATCCTATATGGTGTAATTAAAGAGTAGAGTATTGGAATGTATCCTATATGGTGTAATTAAAGAGTATTGGAATGTATCCTATATGGTGTAATTAAAGAGTAGAGTATTGGAATGTATCCTATATGGTGTAATTAAAGATTAGAGTATTGGAATGTATCCTATATGGTGTAATTAAAGAGTAGAGTATTGGAATGTATCCTATATGGTGTAATTAAAGATTAGAGTATTGGAATGTATCCTATATGGTGTAATTAAAAGAGATTTGGAATGTATCCTATATGGTGTAATTAAGAGTAGAGTATTGGAATGTATCCTATATGGTTGTAATTAAAGAGTTAGAGTATTGAATGTATCCAATATGGTGTAATTAAAGAGTAGAGTATTGGAATGTAATCCTATATGGTGTAATTAAAGAGTAGAGTATGTGGAATGTAGCCTATATGGTGTAATTAAAGAGTAGAGTATTGGAATGTATCCTATATGGTGTAATTAAAGAGTAGAGGATTGGAATGTATCCTATATGGTGTAATTAAAGAGTAGAGTATTGGAATGTATCCTATATGGTGTAATTAAAGAGTATAGTATTGGAATGTATCCTATATGGTGTAATTAAAGAGTAGAGTATTGGAATGTATCCTATATGGTGTAATTAAAGAGTAGAGTATTGGAATGTAGCCTATATGGTGTAATTAAAGAGTAGAGTATTGGAATGTATCCTATATGGTGTAATTAAAGAGTAGAGTATTGGAATGTATCCTATATGGTGTAATTAAAGAGTATTGGAATGTATCCTATATGGTGTAATTAAAGATTAGAGTATTGGAATGTATCCAATATGGTGTAATTAAAGAGTAGAGTATTGGAATGTATCCTATATGGTGTAATTAAAGAGTAGAGTATTGGAATGTAGCCTATATGGTGTAATTAAAGAGTAGAGTATTGGAATGTATCCTATATGGTGTAATTAAAGAGTAGAGTATTGGAATGTATCCTATATGGTGTAATTAAAGAGTAGAGTATTGGAATGTATCCTATATGGTGTAATTAAAGAGTATAGTATTGGAATGTATCCTATATGGTGTAATTAAAGAGTAGAGTATTGGAATGTATCCTATATGGTGTAATTAAAGAGTATAGTATTGGAATGTATCCTATATGGTGTAATTAAAGAGTATTGGAATGTATCCTATATTGTGCTTAATTAACTCTACTGTACCGCAGGTCTAGATGTCGGTGCTGTGTGAGTGCACTAAACCTTGCCTTAGGAATTACTTGCTAAGCCATGATTATAGCATGGCCTAGGTAAGAACATGTGAATGGTTCTATTGTTCCCCATGAACACAGGGAGGTAAGTGGCACGCTATGCCTGTGTCCCAAATCGCACCCTATTCCCTGTATAGTGCACTACTTTTGACCAGAGCCCTATAGTAGTGCAGTATATATGGAATAGGGTGCTATTTGGGATGCGGACTATGCTAGCTCTTTATCCCAGTTTAGCACTGCCTTCATCCTCGCCTTGGTCAATGGAAAATATATGTTACAGTTTATGAATGACCCAAGTAAGAAGGCTTTGACGAAAAAATGGGACATGATCAAGTTTATTTGGGATGCATTTTGCATTAAGTCATTTATGTCACTGTATACATTAAATTTTTTCATATTTACATTATGAAACAATAAAATATATTGTTAAAATCTTAAAATAAGCTATGTACTGGAAAAATGTTTTTGTTCCAAAATACGATTTTTCATCATATCTACATTCTATATCTACACGTGTTAACATTTTTAAAACATGTATAAAACTGGATTCTAAGAAATTGAATAAGAAATGTATCTTGGATTTAAAAGTCACTTGCTTCATGTATCATTTGCCAGGACAATGACAAGAAGGGTAAAGCACTGAGTAATATGAACCTTAGCACACCTTCGGTCACATCTTAGTTCACAGGTGCGTTGAGGAAACAAAAGCTCAACTTAACTGGTTGAATGGACTCCTCCATACTGTGTATACTTGTGCCAAATTAAAAAATGTATTAACTAGGGTAATTTTCCTGAAGAAAAAAATGGTGTGCTTGCTTCAGCTGTCCTAAATTATTTTTATGGTAGTAGAATACGTTTTTTTTAAAAAGTTGAATAACTTCCAATGCTGTTTTTTGATGTGACTAACATAAAGAGTTGAAGAGCAGTACTATCCCAAAAAATCTCAATTGTAAGTCTTTGATCATTTAAATGCATTGTATTCTATGCAGTCTTAGTTCAAATAGTATAAATAGTATCAAAGTGATTTTCTCAAGCAACTAAGTCATCAAGCACACTAATAAATTCATTAATTAATTAAATTAATTAATTAATATGCCATTTAGCAGACGCTTTTATCCAAAGCGCCTTACAGTCGTGCGTGCATACATTTTTTGTTTATGGGTGGTCCCGGGGATCGAACCCACTACCTTGGCGTTACAAGCGCCGTGCTTTACCAGCTGAGCTACAGAGGACCACAAGCCTTAAGCCATAAGCCTGGAGTATGTAGGAATACAGCAGTGGTTCTTGCTTTCGGCAAGAACATTAACTGTTCTTACTGCTCTGAACACTCTTTCCCCTCATCATGTTGTAATGGAAAAGTGTTGATGCATCAGATAAATTGTTTGAACTTACATCTGATAAAGTTGTTAAAGCTTGTTACAACTCTTACATCAGGAGATACAAAGGTAGATTAACTCATAATCTCTGAACCCATAACCAAATCTCACGTGCACTAAACAGCTGACTAATCAACTCATAAAACTTGTCATGTATTTCCTTTGGACATTTTCCATTCTGTCCATCCCAATACTGCATGACAAACCAATGGGAAAACCAATTTATTTGATCGAAGCCCACCATGATGTCTCCTTGTAAAATACATTATTTTAAAGATGGAAAAGATACAGTAGAAATGTACAAACATAATGGTTATAAATTAAATGTTGTTTTGACCAACTACACTTGTTGAATTCTAGTGGTCTGCAGACCAAGTATACACCAGCCTTTAGTTTTACAGTAGATAGGAATTCTCTAAAATATACACTGTAACATCAGAACATCTCTCCTCTTTCTCTCTCTCTCTCTCTCTCTCTCTCCTCTCTCCTCTCTCTCTCTCTCTCTCTCCTCTCCTCTCTCCTCTCTCCTCTCTCTTCGCCTCTCCATCTCTCTCTCTCTCTCTCTCTCTCTCCTCCTCTCTCTCTCTCTCTCTCTCTCTCTCTCTCTCTCTCTCTCTCTCCATCTCTCTCTCTCTCTCTCTCTCCTCCTTCTCTCTGCAAAAAAAATCTCTCTCTCCTCGCTCTCCTATCTCCTCTCCTCTCCTCTCTCATTCCTCTCTCTCCCCCCACCCACCCCTCAACCCCGCCTCTCCTCTCTTCTCCTCTTCTCTCTCCTCTCTTCCTCTCCTCCGCCTCACCCCACTCCCTCTCTCTCTCTTTCATCGCTCCTGCCTCTTCTCTCTCTCACCTCCCTCTCCTCCCTTCTCCTCTCCTCTCTCGCTTCACTCTCTCTCGCGCGTCGGTCCTGTGCAGCTCCAGTCCTGTTCTGGCCTGTCAGCGCCAGGCCGTGGGAGGGCCCGCGCCGGTCAGCTCCAGTCCAAGCCAGCCTGGCCTGTCCGCGACAGCCAGTGTTCCGGTCCTGTCTCTCTCGGTCTTCTGTCCTGTCCTCTCTTCTTCTCTTCTGTCCACTCCGCTCCTGTCCTGTGTTGTCCTGTCCTGTGTTGTCCTGTCCTGTGCTGTCCTGTCCTGTGCTGTCCTGTCCTGTGCTGTCCTGTCCTGTCCTGTCCTGTGTTGTCCTGTCCTGTGCTGTCCTTTCCACTCAGCCTCAGAATTTCTCTTCTTTGAAGGCCTCCTTCTCCATCATACTGCTGATGGTGTCAATCTTCACCTGGCTGGTCTGGTTCCTCTGCTTCTGAACGCTGTTACGGATCCCATAACCAAAGTAGATGAGGAAACCTACAGAGCGAGAGAGAGGGAGAGCGAGATAGATGGAGAGAGAGAGAGCGAGAGAGTAGAAGATCAGCGTTTACAATCTTAAAACATAGAGAACCCACCCCTCAACCCTCCGACATACTGTATAGCCTCCAACCCACTTTAGACAACCCACACTCCTATTGATATAAGGTCAGATACCCCCAAGAAAATGACCCATCCATCCCCACCAGCCTGTGCTTGTGGCATGTGTTATTGGGCAGAGAAGTGTTGGGTAGAATACTTACCTACGGCCATCCAGATGGCATATCGCATCCAGGTGTCTCCTCCTAACTGGACCATCAGGTAGACGTTGACAAACACACTAACTACCGGCAGCACAGGCAGGAAGGGCACCTGGTAGCAGAGGGCAGGGGGTAAGATAACTTTACTAGAATGTCAAAAATAAAGACACTAACAATGCATCACACAGGGTCTGGGCCCAAAGGTAAACGTTCTGGAGTTCAAAAACATTGGGGTTGAGTGAAATTACGATCTGTTAGGCTGCATCTGATAATGGTTGATAATTATTGTGAATCAGCGATGTTTGAATAGCCTGTGATAACGTCCTCTAATCAGCGATATTTGAATAGCCTGTGATAACGTCCTATAATCAGCGATGTTTGAATAGGCTGTGATAATGACCTCTAATCAGCGATGTTTGAATAGCCTGTGATAACGTCCTATAATCAGCGATGTTTGAATAGCCTGTGATAACGTCCTATAATCAGCGATGTTTGAATAGGCTGTGATAACGTCCTATAATCAGCGATGTTTGAATAGGCTGTGATAACGTCCTATAATCAGCGATGTTTGAATAGGCTGTGATAACGTCCTATAATCAGCGATGTTTGAATAGGCTGTGATAACGTCCTCTAATCAGCGATGTTTGAATAGCCTGTGATAATGTCCTCTATATGCCGGTGTTCATCTTCCCACGGTGCTCCTCACCATGAAAGCAGCCTTGGCTTGGTTCTGTGGATGCCTCCAGATGATGATGACGAGGACCAGGAGGATGAAGGCTACGATGGACACACACACCAGGCTCCAGATCTCCTGCCTCTGTAGAGCGTCCATGGCTTGGGTCAGAAGGACACACAGACCGCACACACACACCACTGGAGAGAGAGAGAGAGGAAGGGGGTGAGGGAAGAACAACTGAACAGAGAGAGAGTAGGCCGATGGAAGAACATCTGAACAGAGAGAGAGAGGAAGGGGGTGAGGGAAGAACAACTGAACAGAGAGAGAGAGGAAGGGGGTGAGGGAAGAACATCTGAACAGAGAGAGAGTAGGCCGATGGAAGAACATCTGAACAGAGAGAGAGTAGGCCGATGGAAGAACATCTGAACAGAGAGAGAGTAGGCCGATGGAAGAACATCTGAACAGAGAGAGAGTAGGCCGATGGAAGAACATCTGAACAGAGAGAGAGTAGGCCGATGGAAGAACATCTGAACAGAGAGAGAGTAGGCCGAGGGAAGAACATCTGAACAGAGAGAGAGTAGGCTGATGGAAGAACATCTGAACAGAGAGAGAGTAGGCCGAGGGAAGAACATCTGAACAGAGAGAGAGAGGAAGGGGGTGAGGGAAGAACATCTGAACAGAGAGAGAGTAGGCCGATGGAAGAACATCTGAACAGAGAGAGAGTAGGCCGAGGGAAGAACATCTGAACAGAGAGAGAGAGGAAGGGGGTGAGGGAAGAACATCTGAACAGAGAGAGAGTAGGCCGATGGAAGAACATCTGAACAGAGAGAGAGTAGGCCGAGGGAAGAACATCTGAACAGAGAGAGAGTAGGCCGATGGAAGAACATCTGAACAGAGAGAGAGTAGGCCGAGGGAAGAATGACCGAAAGAAAGGTGGAAGGCTACATCATGTTACACTGCAGATACTCCAGTACCTTTAAAATGTAGAAGATCTTTGAATAATATTATTCGTCATTGTTATAAAGTGGCAACTTTAAAGATAGATCTACTGGAGATTTCTTCTCAAACCGTTTTGCTTACCAGAAAATACAGTCAAATTTGTGACTGTTTTCGAGGTGCCCGATGTTGGGAATGATGGTGGTTTGAGACAACCAAACTTGGTGTTTGATTCAAGGATCTGGAGATCTGAGTCTTCTGATTGGGTCTCTTGGTACCTAGATGTTATAAAGTCAACTTAGTACCGTTTATTTTGCTAAATCTATTTATTTTGCTAAATAGAGGACAGCTGTTTATCTAAGTTTGGATATTTGTGAAATACTTACCTAAGTATAAGAATGCATATAGCCACAAGTGTGTAGGCAAAGAGTGTCCCAATTGACATCATATCAACCAATGCTTTCAGGTCAAACACCAGGGACATTATCGCTGGAAAGGAAAACAAAACAAGCATTCAAGTATTTATTTTAAATAAATCATTACACAAAAGATATCATAGTCCAAACACAATAAACTATTTATATCTCTACAAGAGAGAGAGGAAGAGAGAGAGATCGGGAGATCGGGAGATCGGGAAATCGGGAGATCGCGAAATCGAGAGAGAGAGAGAGAGAGAGATAGAGATCGATGGGGTGTTACCTGCCACGACCCCGGAGGAGAGGGTAGAGAGAGATAGAGATCGATGGGGTGTTACCTGCCACGACCCCGGAGGAGAGGGTAGAGAGAGATAGAGATCGATGGGGTGTTACCTGCCACGACCCCGGAGGAGAGGGTAGCGATGACGGGACTCTGTCTGGCGCTGACTTTACTGAGGGGCTTGAAGAGGAGGCCGTCTCTGGCCATAGCAAACAGTACGCGGGGCATAGGGAACATGGAACCCAACAGACTGCACAGGAGACAGACAGACGGACGCAGAGAGCCATCAGTCATGTTACAGTCACAGGAGACAGACAGATAGCCATCAGTCATGTTGCAGTCACAGGAGACAGACAGACACAGAGAGCCATCAGTCATGTTACAGTCACAGGAGACAGACAGACACAGAGAGCCATCAGTCATGTTACAGTCACAGGAGACAGACAGACGGACGCAGAGAGCCATCAGTCATGTTACAGTCACAGGAGACAGACAGACGGACGCAGAGAGCCATCAGTCATGTTACAGTCACAGGAGACAGACAGACGGACGCAGATAGCCATCAGTCATGTTACAGTCACAGGAGACAGACAGACGGACGCAGAGAGCCATCAGTCATGTTACAGTCACAGGAGACAGACAGACGGACGCAGATAGCCATCAGTCATGTTACAGTCACAGGAGACAGACAGACGGACGCAGATAGCCATCAGTCATGTTACAGTCACAGGAGACAGACAGACGCAGATAGCCATCAGTCATGTTACAGTCACAGAAGACAGACAGACGCAGATAGCCATCAGTCATGTTACAGTCACAGGAGACAGACAGACGCAGATAGCCATCAGTCATGTTACAGTCACAGGAGACAGACAGACGCAGAGAGCCATCAGTCATGTTACAGTCACAGGAGACAGACAGACGCAGATAGCCATCAGTCATGTTACAGGCACAGGAGACAGACAGACGCAGATAGCCATCAGTCATGTTACAGTCACAGGAGACAGACAGACGCAGATAGCCATCAGTCATGTTACAGTCACAGGAGACAGACAGACGCAGATAGCCATCAGTCATGTTACAGTCACAGGAGACAGACAGACGCAGATAGCCATCAGTCATGTTACAGTCACAGGTTGTGTCCCAAATGGCACACTATTCCCTATATAGTGCACTTTTGACCAGGGGTAGTGCACTACATAGGGATTAGGGTGCCATTTGGCATGCAGACTCAGCACAGGGCCATGTTACAATCTCAGCAAAACAACTATAACAACAGAATACACGAGGCCAGATTTACAAAGCATTTGCACCCTGGTAAATATGGTTTATATCTTTTTAGAATGGAGACAGACAGACAGACAGACAGACAGACAGACAGACAGACAGACAGACAGACAGACAGACAGACAGACAGACAGGCCAACCGACCAACTGTAATGATGCATGGTGACATCACTGACCAGTGACTTCCCGTGTTCTCCTACCTACCTGGTGGAGAGGGCGCAGAGCGAGCCGACAGCCACCACATACTTGGCGGGCGCCCAGCCGATGTACTCGAAGGCCACGGGCAGCGGGCTGTTAACGTTGAGCATGTAGTAGGGCATCATCAGTGTGAGGGCCGCTGACACTGCGAAGTAGGCCAGGAAACAGATGAGGAGAGATGCCACTATGCCCAGCGGGATGGACTTCTGAGGGTTCTTCACCTCCTCACCTGGAGAGAGACAATGAATTAATTAATTAATGCAGCGCTGCCAATCAATCAGTCCATCAGTCGATTGGCCGATCAGTCAATCAGTAGATTGGTCGATCAGTCGACCAATCAATCAGCCAATATTGGTCAATTAAGCAAGCAAAGTTGAATCGTGTGGAATATCGACTCTTAGAGTATGCCTAAATATTCACCCAAAAGGTATTCTGAGTAGAGTAGACATTACCAAAGATACTGTATGGACAAAGCTTGGAGAAGCACCTGGCTTTATCAATGTTTCTGTAGGATGGAATATGTTTCTGATGTATATATGGGTTAGTGTGTCCGTGCGTGTTCAAAGATCAAAGCAGGCCTACTTGTTGTGGCGATGCAGTCGAAGCCTACGAAGGCGTAGAAACAGGTAGCGGCTCCGGAGATTGTCCCTTCAAAACCGTAGGGGAAGAACCCTCCATCCCCATATATACTGGTCACATTGACTGTAGAGGTTAGATTCCTGGAGAGGTCACAACATAGGACATATACACTACCAGTCAAATGTTTGGACACACCTACTCATTCCAGGGTTTTTCTTTATTTGTACTATTTTCTACATTGTAGAATAATAGTGAAGACATCAAAACTATGAACTAACACATATGGAATCATGCAGTAACCAAAAAAGTGTTAAACAAATCAAAATATATTTTATATTTGACATTCTTCAAATAGCCACCCCTTTTGCCTTTATGACAGCTTTGCACACTCTTGGCATTCTCTCAACCAGCTTCACCTGGAATGCTTTTCCAACAGTCTTTTTTGAAGGAGTTCCCATATATGCTGAGCACTTGTTTGCTGCTTTTCCTTCACTCTGCGGTCCGACTCATCCCAAACCATCTCAATTGGGTTGAGGTCGGGGGATTGTGGAGGCCAGGTCTTCTGATGCAGCACTCCATCACTCTCCTTCTTGATAAAATAGCCCTTGCACAGCCTGGAGGTGTGTTGGGTCATTGTCCTGTTAAAAAACAAATGATAGTCCCACTAAGCCCAAATCAGATGGGATGGTGTATCGCTGCAGAACGCTGTGGTAGCCATGCTGGTTAAGTGTGCCTTAAATTCTAAATAAATCACAGACCGTGTCACCAGCAAAGCACCCCCACACCATTACACGTCCTCCTCCATGCTTTACGGTGGGAAATACACATGCGGAGATTATCCGTTCACCCAGACCGCGTCTCACAAAGACACGCAGTTGGAACCAAAAATCTCAAATTCACACAGTCCCCTCTGAACAGTTGATGTTGAGATGTGTCTGTGACTTGGCTGCAATTTCTGAGGCTGGTAACTCTAGTGAACTTATCCCCTGCAGCAGAGGTAACTCTGGGTCTTCCATTCCTGTGGCGGTCCTCATGAGAGCCAGTTTCATCATAGCGCTTGATGGTTTTTGCGACTGCACTTGAAGAAACATTCTTGACAGTTCTTGATATTTACCGTATTGACTGACCTTCATGTCTTAAATTAATGATGGACTGTCGTTTCTCTTTGCTTATTTGAGCTGTTCTTGCCATAATATGGACTTGGTCAAATAGGGCTATTTTCTGTATACCCCCCCCTACCTTGTCACAACACAACTGATTGGCTCAAACGCATTAAGAAGGAAAGAAATTCCACAAATTAACTTTTAAGAAGGCACACCTGTTAATTGAAATGCATTCCAGGTGACTACCTCATGAAGCTGGTTGAGAGTATGCCAAGAGTGTGCAAAGCTGTCATCAAGGCAAAGGGTGGTGATTTGAAAAATCTCAAATATAAAATATATTTTGATTTGTTTAACACTTTTTTGGTTACTACATGATTCCATCTGTGTAATTTCATAGTTTTGATGTTTTCATTATTATTCTACAATGTAGAAAATAGTAAAAATAAAGAAAAACCCTGGAATGAGTAGGTGTGTCCAAACATTTGACTGGTACTGTATATACAGGGTTGCAAAACTCGGTAACTTTCCCAATCTTCCCTGGTTTTCCAGAAATCTCGGTTGAAAGATTCACGCTAGTATTTCCTGCTAATACCACTGCTATAACACACTCACACACGTTTGCCTGTAGAAACGTGTTCAACATCCACTGATGTTGCTAGCAAGTTTGGTATAATGAAGGATATTGCATACTGGAATTCTGCTGTAGCGTTGATGAGCGCCTCCTGATTGATCTGCCAGTTGCCGATGTCTCCCTTGACGAAGCCCGCTACAATGACAAACAGAAGCACCAGGATGTTGATGGCCGTGAAGATCTTGTTGACTATTGCCGATTCCTGGACACCAAAGGCCAGCAGACCTTCACAGGACGGAAACACATGGAACATGTGTTCATCATCATCATCATCATCATCATCATCATCATCATCGTCATCGTCATTGTCATCGTCATCATCACCATCACCATCATCATCATCATCATCATCGTCATCATCACCATCACCATCATCATCATCATCATCATCGTCATCATCACCATCACCATCATCACATCATCATCATCATCACCATCATCATCAACCACCATCATCATCATCATCATCATCATCGTCATCATCACCATCATCATCATCATCGTCATCATCACCATCATCATCATCACCATCATCATCATCATCATCATCATCATCACCATCACCATCATCATCAACATCCTCACCATCATCATCATCATCATCATCATCACCACCATCATCATCACCATCATCATCATCATCATCATCACCATCATCATCATCATCATCACCACCATAATCATCATCATCATCTCCACCACCATCACCATCATCATCATCACCATCATCATCATCATCATCATCTCCACCACCACCATCATCATCATCACCATCATCATCATCACCATCATCATCATCATCATCGTCATCATCACCATCATCATCATCATCATCATCGTCGTCATCCATCATCGTTATCACCATCATCATCACCATCATCATCGCCACCACCATCATCATCATCACCATCATCATCATCGTTATCACCATAATCATTATCGTCATCGTCAGCCATCATCATCGTCATCCATCATCACCATCATCATCAGTACCAGACAGTTTTAATGTCTCTATGTTGTTAAACGAACGAATGATCAATCAATCAATCAATCAATCATCAGATTCAGTTTACCTGCCAGGAGCATAATGAGCCCAGCAGCAAAGAAGTCTGGGTATTCTGCGAGGCCCGGGAGGCCCATATATAGGTTTTCTTTGAAGAACTTCCCCATGACGTTGCCGATGAGGTCATCAAAGGTTCCGCTCCAAGCCCTCGCCACACTGGACGTTCCTGAGAAGATAATGATAAGAGGAGATTAGCCATATGACCATAGATGGATCAATCAATCAATCAATCAACAATTGGCCTTTATGGATATGTTTCTTACAGAGGACAGATGAAAAGCACGTGCATAACCATGGTAGCAACTGCAACGGAACCGTTGGAGATTATGGGAAAATGATTAGACCAAAGTTGAGGACACAACAGTTCACCTGAAACAAGACTGAATCCTCAAACATTAAACTGTTGATTTTATGTGCATTTTACATTTACTGTACTTTTCGACACAATATGTTGATAACGAAATACTCCGGATACATTCAGTAACATGATAAGAATATTAGTGGAAAACGTGGGGTAGGTACAACATAAGACAAAAGAAATGCCAAGGGTTTGAGTGAGAGGACTAACTGGTGTCTCCAAGTGGCCACACACCTCTTCAAAGTGTACACAGTTGCTAAGTAATTTGAATGCACTTTTATGACTCAAAGAAGAGTCTTCAACTATAAGGTGCTTTTTTTTTAGCTCTCCTAGCTGTGCTGTTGAGGAACTAGAGCAAGCACACTGGTAGTTGTTTTGTTTGGAACGCAGCCCTGCATCCCCGCCATCACACAGTTACTGTTGTTGTTTACGCGATCCAAAAAACTGGCCCATTATAAATCGCAATCTGGTGGGCCTCATTTGAAAGCTTGTTCTATTTCACAAGGCAAATCAGAGAAACAGATGGTAATTTTGGTGCCCATAGAAAGGAGTCCTGAGTGCATTCAGGTGCCGCGGGGGAATTACAATAAACAAACATAGGCTCATTCTGTTCAGAACAATCCCAGGGTATGACACCCATGTCATCTTGCAACTGTACATTAAACATAGTGATCATAAATGTTGACACTGTATACGCCACGAGTTTTATGTTATGTGAAGTGCACATTTGGACTCAGGGGTGCATGACATCAAAGCGGCATTTATTATAAACTTCAAAATGTCATCTTTCAAAATACGTCGAGTCGTCTTAATTTACAGCATTTCCCTCACTCAGGCAGTAAAGCAAGTTGCCCAATTAGCAGGAGGGATGGGGAAAACGTATCGTTGCATACGATGCTGTCAGTCAAAACCCATTCAGCATTTATAATCTTTTAATAATAAACATCTATGATGTCATTTATAGCATGTTACTGTACAGCCACAAGCGTTGCAATTTAGCCGTGTATCAGTGCCCCCTCATCTGCCATTTTCAACCCGTATATGGGTACGACTGTAAAGTGCTACACGATCAATCCATCGATCAGTACTCATCGTTTTATCATGCAGTGTCCCTGAGAAGATAACGCATGATAATTTTACTGTGTTGTGTGATATTGTACATACAGAGAGGGCAGATATTAATGTGATTGGTTAAGTTTAGGCAAGAAATGTGATTGGTTAAGCTTAGGTCAATTACTCCAGTTGGTTAAGGTTAGGTATCTCAGATAGGTCACTTCTGTGAGTAGGGCTGGACTCTTAACTATCAAATTAGTTTTTATGGGTCAGTATTGCCCAGGAGGCGCTAACTTAACTGCCATGGAGTTGGTTTTAAAATAGCATACTATAGGACCTACTGGTTGAAACTGCTGTACAATCTCTCTCTCTCTCTCTCTCTCTCTCTCTCTCTCTCTCTCTCTCTCTCTCTCTCTCCTCTCTCTCTCTCTCTCTGCTCTCTCTCTCTCTCTCTCTCTCCTCTCTCTCCTCTCGCTCTCTCTCTATTATATCTCTCTCTCTCTCTCTCTCTCTCTCTCTCTCTCTCTCTCTCTCTCTACCCCTCTGGTGGATATTTTAATCAATAATGAGGAGAGACAAGGTGAATCACCAATCAGAATATTAACTTTATTAAAAACATATTGATAAGGGAGCTGGTCACAATACCCACACCAAAGTGAATAGAGCGAGAGCCCACTGAGTGGAGCGAGCCTCTGGGTTATGTACCATCTCAGGATGGGTCAGGATAGGTGCAACCTCAGAGATAACATACAATGGTTCCAGACACTAACCCCACACATCCTGTGCCAGACCTTAGCCTCAAATACAAACAACTCATTGTTTTGTTCAGTACTAAGAATTTAGAAGGACATTTGTTGTTAGTTAGTTTCCACCTTTTCCAGAAAGGGAACCAGGGGAGAGAACAATCTCCCCCAAGGCCCAAAGGAGGGGGGTGACTGACACACAGACATTGTGGAGACAAGAGATTTGTTCCCATTCCTCACGCCTTTCCCTTCACATGGTTTGCAATAGGCAAAGACACATATTCACGTATGGAAACAATGTTTCCTTCTGACCTCCTTTGGCCTATTCTCTTTCTGGTATTCCGCATAGCAACAGGGACATGTGATAGACAAGCCTGACCTCTCCCCTCTCTGGGCCCCAGGTGACTGAGGCCCATATCAGGGAGGAAGTGCAGCTGAACTCTAATATCAAGAGTTCAACAGTTCAATCACATAAGCATATTCTGCAGATAAGACGTCTTAATTATCTATGTTACCTAGCTAATTCTGATTTCTCCACCACACTCTGTACTATGCTGGAACAAATAAATGGATGATGGTGAATCAACATTTTACTGCAGGGGGTTAAAGTCAGAGATGAAAAGTTAAAGGAAGACAGTCTTGTGTTTATGGTTGATCATTTATGGTTCTCAATGTTCCCATGCACTGAGACAAAACGTTTTGCGTTACACTCGGGAGCCAATGTTATACTAATAATAATGTAAACATGTTGTTTATGCCTCAATATAGATATACACTCACATCTAGTACCGGGTCGGACCCCCCTTTCCCTCCAGAATAGCCTGAATTCTTAAGGGCATTCTACAAGGTGTCGGAAACATTCCAGAGGGATGTTGGTCCATGCTGACGTGATGACATCACACAGTTGCTGCAGATTGGACGGTGGTACATTCATGCTGCAAACAGCCCGTTCCATCTCATCCCAAAGATGCTCTATTGGGTTGAGGTCTGGGGACTGCGTAGGCCGCTCAAGTAAACTGAACTCACTGTCATGTTCCAGGCGATGTTTTGTCCAGTGTTGGTGATGGCCTGCTCCTTCTTGTTTTTAGCTGATAGGAGAGGAACCCGGTGTGGTCGTCTGCTGCTATAGCCCAGCCGTGACAAGGAGCGACGAGTTGTGTGTTTCCGAGATGCCGTTCTGCACACCACTGTTGTACTGCGCCGTTATTTGTCTGTTTGTGGCCCTCCTGTTAGCTTTCATGATTCTTGCCATTCTCCTTCGACCTCTCTCATCAACAAGCTATTTTTGCCCACAGGACTGCCTCTGACTGGATGTTTTTTTTGTTTGTCGCACCATTCTCGGTAAACCCTAGACACTGTCATACGTGAAAAGCCCAGGAGGGCGTCCGTTTCTGAGATACTGGATCCGGCGCGTCTGGCACCGACGATCAAAGTCACTTAGGTCACTCGTTTTGCCCATTCTAACGTTCAGTCGATCAGTAACTGGATGCCTGTCTGCCTGCTTTACATAGCAAGCCACGTGACTGTGGAAGCAATCCATTTTTCGTGAACGGGGTGGTGTACCTAATAAAACGCCTGAACTAGAATGAAGTATTATGGTGTTGTATCTTACCTATGACGTAGGACAGCAACAGATTCCACCCGGTAATAAAGGCCAGTAGCTCTCCCACCGTCACATAGCTGTACAGATACGCAGACCCCGTTTTGGGGACGCGGGCCCCAAACTCAGCGTAGCACAAGCCGGCAAAGATGGAGGCCAAGGCAGCGATGAAGAAGGATATGATGATGCTGGGACCTGACGACGTCCTAGCAACCTAATAGACATGATAAATCAATTAAATTGATTTTATAAAGCCCTTTTTACATCACCCGTTTCCAGATACCCGGCCAAAACCCCAAAGAGCAAGCAATGCAGAAGCAGAAGCCCAGTGGCAAGTGAAAACTCCCAAGAACGTTATAGAAAGATCCAGACACTTTTTTTTATTTTACTTACCTCAACCAGCCATTCACTTCCTCATCCTCATTGTGCATTCCTTTCCAGTTGTTCCATTTTCCATGTAGCCTGCTGCTTGAATGGACGGAGCGGTATCGCTCAAGTCGCAAACAAAATAAAATATTATGTTCGAAATGACACAATTTCATGTGTACAGCATCTAAAGACCTGCATCACTACACAGAGCGTTTCCGTTTCTAAAATGTAAAGTATTTTTGGAGCATTTGTTCATGTTTTTTCAGAGCCCCCGTACTGCACAGAGAGAATGAGGAAGTGATTCACTGGTTGGGGTAAGTTTCTCAAAAACAAATGAAATCGCACCCTTCTGTAACATGCCATTTACATAAAAAATTGAGATTTGGTTGTAAAAAAGCACAATTCTCCTTTAAGTGTTGAAGTGTTAGTCGCTCTGGATAGAAGCGTCTGCTAAATGACTTAAATGTAAATGTAAGTGTTACAGTGTTAAGTTAAAGTGTTAAAGTAATGAGGCGGCTGAACTAAAATGTTCCTAATGATTGTTCATTTTGTGATAAAAGCACCAGATTTTGCCAATGCCTTCATCAAATACCATCAGAGTAGCCCCCTCCTTGCTTTAGACCAACATATCATTCCTGTCAAGAGTCGTTCCTGTCAGTCTTGCACTGTTTACTCTTGCATCACTCTAAATTCCAAGCATCTGCCTCTAACCCTAGGAAGCTCTTTGCCACCTTCTCCTCCCTGCTGAATCCCCCCCCCCCCCCCCCCCCCCCCCCCTCCCTCTCTGTGGATGACTTCGTCAACCATTTTGAAAAGAAGGTTGACGACATCCGATCCTCGTTTGTTAAGTCAAATGACACTGCTGGTCCTGCTCACACTGAACTACCCTATGCTTTGACTTCTTTCTCCCCTCTCTCTCCAGATGAAATCTTGCGACTTCTGACGGCCGGCCGCCCAACAACCTGCCCGCTTGACCCTATCCCCTCCTCTCTTCTCCAGACCATCTCCGGTGACCTTCTCCCTTACCTCTCCTCGCTCATCAACTCATCCTTGACCGCTGGCTATGTCCCTTCCGTCTTCAAGAGAGCGAGAGTTGCACCCCTTCTCAAAAAACCAACACTCGATCCCTCTGATGTCAACAACTACAGACCAGTATCCCTTCTTTCATTTCTCTCCAAAACTCTTGAGCGTGCCGTCTTTAGCCAACTCTCTTGCTATCTCTCTCAGAATGACCTTCTCGATCCAAACCAGTCAGGTTTCAAGACTGGTCATTCAACTGAGACTGCTCTTCTCTGTGTCACGGAGGCTCTCCGCACTGCTAAAGCTAACTCTCTCTCCTCTACTCTTGTCCTTCTAGACCTGTCTGCTGCCTTTGATACTGTGAACCATCAGATCCTCCTCGCCACCCTCTCCGAGTTGGGCATCTCCGGCGCGGCTCACTCTTGGATTGCGTCCTACCTGACCGGTCGCTCCTACCAAGTGGCGTGGCGAGAATCTGTCTCCGCACCACGTGCTCTCACCACTGGTGTCCCCCAAGGCTCAGTTCTAGGCCCTCTCCTATTCTCGCTATACACCAAGTCACTTGGCTCTGTCATATCCTCACATGGCCTCTCCTATCATTGCTACGCAGACGACACACAACTAATCTTCTCCTTTCCCCCTTCTGATAACCAGGTGGCGAATCGCATCTCTGCATGGCTGGCAGACATATCAGTGTGGATGACCACCTCAAGCTGAACCTCGGCAAGACGGAGCTGCTCTTCCTCCCGGGGAAGGACTGCCCGTTCCATGATCTCGCCATCACGGTTGACAACTCCGTTGTGTCCTCCTCCCAGAGTGTGAAGAGCCTTGGCGTGACCCTGGACAACACCCTGTCGTTCTCCGCTAACATCAAGGCGGTGACCCGATCCTGTAGGTTCATGCTCTACAACATTCGGAGAGTACGACCCTGCCTTACACAGGTGACATCAGAGGGCACCATTAGACCAACTCCTGGAATTGCCTACTCCAGTGAAGTTTGCAGTTGTGTCTAAAAAATCTTATTTTGCTCCAAACATCTTAATTTTTTTTACCCTTAAGTGTACTTACTGTATTCACAATGTTTTTTAACAGGAAAAGTTATAAAATAGTTGGAGTGAGTCTTTAAACGTTAAAGTGTTACGTTGAAGTGTTACGTTAAAGTGTTACGTTAAAGTGTTACGTTAAAGTGTTACGTTAAAGTGTTACGTTGAATTGTTACGTTAAAGTGTTACGTTAAAGTGTTACGTTGAAGTGTTACGTTAAAGTGTTACGTTAAGTGTTACGTTGAAGTGTTACGTTAAAGTGTTACGTTAAAGTGTTACGTTGAATTGTTACGTTAAAGTGTTACGTTAGAGTGTTACGTTGAAGTGTTACGTTAGAGTGTTATGTTAGAGTGTTACGTTGAAGTGTTACGTTAAAGTGTTACGTTAAAGTGTTCCGTTGAATTGTTACGTTAAAGTGTTACGTTAAAGTGTTACGTTAGAGTGTTACGTTAAAGTGTTACGTATGGTTAAGTGTTAAAGCATTAAAAGTGTTAAAAGGTAAAAAGGTGAAAAAGAGAAGAGGATAAGTGCAACAATCAGATATGTATCCATATCTCCCAAGGTAGTCCCCACCCCTAGGGCCACCAAGTCATATCCATACATCTCCCCCAAGGTAGTCCCCACCCCTAGGGCCACCAAGTCATATCCATACATCTCCCCCAAGGTAGTCCCCACCCCTAGGGCCACCAAGTCAACAGTGTTACGTTAAAATAAGTTAGTTAAATAAGAAGAAGTTGTATCCATACCTCTCCAGATAGAACGTAGACCCCTGCCCCCAGGGTACTCCCCACCCCTAGGGCCACCAGGTCCAGGGTGGTCAGACAACGGTTGAAAGTGGACTCCTCTCCCTCGGGCTCCAGAGGTTTTCTCCTGGACAGGCTCCGAACAAAGGAGCTCAATGAGTGGCAGGTCATCCTTCTACTGGGGTCAGGGGTCAGGGGTCAGGGGTTGGGGAGGAAGAGAGAAGGTAGAGAGAAAAGGGGATCAGTGAGGGTGTGGGGGGGGGAGAGAGATGGATGGATGGATGGATGGATGGATGGATGGATGGATGGATGGATGGATGGATGGATGGATGGATGGATGGATGGATGGATGGATGGATGGATGGATGGATGGATGGATGGATGGATGAGTGAACATGTCGGTGAATAATTGTCAGATCACCCCTAACGCTGAATCATTTCAGACTACATGTTCAAGAACATCACTTTCTAATAATTTTGCTGTTCAAAAAATACACTGAAGAAAATAAACACTGGAAATCAATTTAAAACTGTCTGTCTTTACCACATAGTTTATTACATAAAAAACTACTTCAAAGTATTTGAAAGATCAGCAGTATAATATCAGAAACATTATCAATAACCTTTATCAGTTTCCATGTATTTCATAAAGTCTTCTAGAGACTACCGTGCTCTTTGTAAATCTACTGTAAAATCCATAAGCTACTTTATGGACTGTCCCTATCAGTAACATTCTTACACAAGGCACGGTAACTTCAAAAGTTCAGCAACATTGAGTGACAACCTTGCATTCTTCTTTTATAATAATAATAATAATATGCCATTTAGCAGACGCTTTTATCCAAAGCGACTTACAGTCATGCGTGCATACATTTTTTTTAATATATTTTTTTGTATGGGTGGTCCCGGGGATCGAACCCACTACCTTGGCGTTACAAGCGCCGTGCTCTACCAGCTGAGCTACAGAGGACCAAAACACCAAAACACCAAAATCACTATCATTAACTACCAAATAATAAACACATAAATATTTGTTTGTCTGCTTACCTGTCAGTGAGTGAATCCCTGCTACAGAGCTGTGCTGTGTTTAGGAGAGACAATTGATAGTGTTTAATATTCCTTCCATTACAATCACTTAATTATTTTATTTTATGCCTCCTCCTTTATCAGCTGCCTGACAGAAGACTGCTGATGCTTGTCCTTTTCTCCCGAAGCCCATTGGATCTATAACTACGCTGTCACGACTCCCTCCGAAGCTGCCTCATCTCCTTGTTCGGGCAAGCTTCGGCGTTTGCCAATTACTATCGGAGGTCTATCCAGGGCTTTGGCAAGGTCTCAGCCCCCATCACCTCTCTGTTGAAGGGCGAGCTGTCCCAGCTCCGCTGGTCTGCTGAGGCTGACAGGGCTTTCAGTACCCTGAGGGCTCTGTTCACCTCAGCCCCGGTACTGGTCCATCCCGATCCCTCATTGACGTTCGTAGTGGAGGTGGACGCGTCCGAGGTAGGGGTAGGCGCTGTCCTATCCAAACGCTCGGGCAAGCCACCCAAGCTCCGTCCCTGTGCCTTCTTCTCTAAGAAGCTCAGCCCGGCGGAGCAGAACTATGATGTTGGTGATCGGGAGCTGTTGGCTGTTGTCAGAGCCTTGACCGCGTGGAGGCACTGGCTTGAGGAGGCGAAACACCCTTTCCTCGTCTGGACTGACCACCGTAACCTGGAGTACATCCGGGCAGCGAGGAGGCTGAACACCCTTTCCTCGTCTGGACTGACCACCGTAACCTGGAGTACATCCGGACAGCGAGGAGGCTGAACACCCTTTCCTCGTCTGGACTGACCACCGTAACCTGGAGTACATCCGGGCGGCGAGGAGGCTGAACACCCTTTCCTCGTCTGGACTGACCACCGTAACCTGGAGTACATCCGGGCATCGAGGAGGCTGAACCCTCGCCAGGCCAGGTGGGCCTTGTTCTTCACCCGGTTTGATTTCACGCTGTCCTATATACCAGGCACTAAGAACGTGAAGGCAGACGCACTGTCACGGCTGTATGACACAGAGGAGAGGCCCATTGATAACACCCCCATACTCCCGGCTTCCTGCATTGTGGCGTCGGTGGTGTGGGCGGTGGACGCGGACATAGAGCGGGCGTTACGCACAGAGACATCTCCACATCAGTGCCCAGCTGGGCTTCGGTACGTGCCGTCTTATCTATTGGGCACACACGTCCCCCTCCTCTGGTCACCCAGGCATCGGCCGTACAGTGCACTGCCTGACCGGAAAGTACTGGTGGCCTACCTTGGCTAAGGACGTGAGGGTGTATGTCTCCTCCTGCTCGGTGAGCGCCCAGAGTAAGGCACCTAGGTACCTCCCAGTGGGTAAGTTACATCCCTTACCAGTTCCACAACGGCCATGGTCTCACTTATCGATCAATTTTCTAACTGATCTTCCCTTCTCTCAGGGTAACGCCACCATCCTGGTCGTTGTGGACCGCTTTTCTAAAGCCTGCCGCTTCCTTCCTCTGCCCGGTCTCCCCACGGCTCTGCAAACTGCGGAGGCCCTTTTTACTCACGTCTTCCGGCACTACGGGGTGCCAGAGAGGACATAGTGTCTGACCGGGGTCCCCAGTTTACGTCTAGGGTCTGGAAGGCGTTCATGGAACGTCTGGGGGGTCTTGCCATGGGCCGAATATGCCCATTGCTCTCTCCGCCACTCCTCCACTAACCTATCTCCATTTCAATGTGTATTAGGGTATCAGCCGGTCCTGGCGCCGTGGCATCAGAGCCAGACCGAAGATCCTGCGGTGGATGTCTTGGTTTGTCTTGTTTTTCACACACACCTGGTACATATCCCCTCATCAGTCTCTGTATAACTATCCCCTCTGCTCCCCCATGTCTTTGTGTGTTATTGTTCCATGTGGAGGTGTCGCTAGCTCGTGTTGAGCATTATGTTACTTTTATCGCCGGGATATTCACCCGTGTGTTTTGTTTTCCCAGAACGCATTTAAGACGCACTGTATTTGGTTTACGCATTGCTGCTGAATTGGCCTAACAAAACCCTATTCTTTGATTTACAGCTCCTGTGCCAGGCTCCGTCCTACTCACCTTGTTACAGTACGCTCTAACCTGCTCCATGACTCTGGGTTTTACACAACTACTAATAACTAGGCACACACAAATATATAGCCAAAACTTAACTTTCCAACTTTTATCCATAGGATAAACCTAAATGAGTCAAGTATGTAAGGAAAGATTTACAGTATGTAATGTAAATACATGTTAATGAAACATATATGTCATATTAAAACATGTATTAGGAATGAAATATCTAATAACAGGTGTGTGAACCAATAGAATGTGTACTCACCTTACGATAGAAGTTCCATGTTGTCATGTGTTCTGAGACGGAACATTGAGAATCAGAGACATTCCATTCTGCTCCCTCTCCCTCTCTCTCTCTCTCTCTCTCTCTCTCTCTCTCTCTCTCTCCTCTCTCTCCTCTCTCTCACTCGTACCTCACCTCTCCTCCTCCTCTCGCTCTCTCGTCTCCATCTCTGCTCTCTCTCTCCCTCTCTCCTCCTCCTTCTTCCTCCCTCTCTTCAACTCTCTTAGATCTCTCCTTCGTCACTCTCCTCTTCTCATCTCCTCTCGGCTCTCTCTGTCTCTCTCCTTCTCTCTGCTCTCCTCATCTTCTCTCTCTCTCTCTACTGGGTGTTCTGTACGGTCACCACTCGCTCCTTCCTTACATTGGAGGGGACAAAAACGGAGGGGGGAAGAATGAACCAGGGAATGATCCGCTAGCTAAATGCCACTATCTCGAAGGAGAATATATACAGTGGGGTCTGAAATTATTGACACCCTGTATAAAGATGAGCAAAAATGACTGTATGAAATAAATAATTCAAATACTGAGCTATATTGTATGCTCCAAACATTTTTTTAATTATATTATTTTATACTAATACAATTGCTCAGAGAAAGAGATTTAGTTTAACAATAAATATTTGTGTTTCTCAAAAAGGGAGGGGTCAAAATTATTGACACCCCTGTTTTCAATACCTTTCAATACCTCACCTTGCGAGGATAATGGCGCTGACTTTTAACCCTCCCTTTTTGAGAAACAAAAATATTACTTGTTAAACAAAATCTCTTTCTCTGAGCAATTGTATTAGTACAAAATAATACAATTTCCCAAAATGTTTTAGCATACAATGTACAGGTAACTTCCAAAATATAGGAAACACCAACATAAAGTGTGTTAGAGTGCTGGGCCACCACGAGCCAGAACAGCTTCCATGCACCTTGGCATAGATTCTACAAGTGTCTTGAACTCTATTGGAGGGATGCGACATCATTCTTCTACAAGAAATTCCATAATTTGGTGTTTTGTTGATGGTGGTGGAAACACTGTCTCAGGCGCCACTCCAGAATCTCCCAGAAGTGTTCAATTGGGTTGAGATCTGATGACTGAGACGGCCATGGCATATGGTTTACATCGTTTATCATGCTCATCAAACCATTCAATGACCACTCGTGCCCTGTGGATGGGGGCATTGTCATCCTATGGGGGCGTAGCCATGGTAGCCAAAATAATGACCTGCCCAGGATTTTTTATACATGACCCTTAAGCATGTTGGGATGTTTATTAACTCAGGAACCACACCTGTGTGGAAGCACCTGCTTTCAATATAATTTGTATCCCTCATTTACTCAACTGTTTCCATTATTTTGGTCAGTTACCTGTAGCTCAGTATTTTTAATTGTTTATTTTATACAGTCATTTATGCTCATCTTTATCAAGGGTGTCAATCAATTTCGGACCCCACTGTAGCTGTCTGTCCACACAGTTTATTCCTCAGCCCACACCACGACACACCCTGCATTGTTGCCCTGTCCCCGTCATCTCAGTTAGGTGCCAGACGACTGTGTAGCAGTTGAGCCTGTAGACGAGGTTATGTTTTTGTTTCTGTAATTTAGTTCCTTAGAAGCTGACATGCAGCCCTAACTATCAACCCTGAAGATAATGTCAAAATAATCACTATTAACTGATAGATAATGTCATAATTATCCCTATCGGCCTTGTTAGCTAGATAATTAAGATAGAGAGGGATAAGGAGAGAGGAGAGAGGAGAGAGGAGAGGGAAGTAGGAGGTAGGGAGGGCGATCAGAGGAGTCCTATCCGCCCTTTTCCGCGCCGCGGGAGCGCTCTGCCCGATGTCCCCTTGAGCCCAAAAAGGTTTAAAAAAGGTTTTTTTTAAACCCCCTGGGAAACCCCAAAAACTTTTTCACGGGCTTTTCTAAATTTGTTCTTATTGGGGTGCATATTTTTACGCTTCAATTTTTTTTTTTATTAACTTTCAGGGGCCGCCATACCCATGTTTCAACGTTTATTTGACAACGCCCCCTGCTGGTTACATTTTTCAGATTAACATGTACTTCCTGGAGTCTTTGGAGCCTGGACTGACCAAAACATGCCCGGATTTTTATAATGACTAACTGTGGATTATTTATCAAACAGACCTTTTAGTGTTTAATTGAACCTTACCAGCTGTCCAGTTTTTTGAGTGTAATGGTAGTTTTTGGTGTTATTTATAGCTTTGGGGTTATCACGTTATGCTTCAACCCCGTGACTATGTCCCCGTATCGGGCAGCACCTAGGCGTGTCCAGGTCAGCCAAATAATGACCGCCAGACTGTTAGCATACGCGTAACGTGGGATTTTTTTATCGTAATACCTGTTAAAAGGGAACCTGCCCTACTTACCCTGCAGTATATGTTCCATATTATCCATACTATGTATTCATATTTTAATTGTCTTTTCTAAGTATTTAGTACAAGGGGTCAAAATGGGGGATGAGCCTGTAGCACCGGGAATTCCTCAGCCCACCACGAAACACGCGTGCGTCCCGGATCAGTAGGGCATCCGACTGGTACAGACCGTAAGAGTAGGGTCGAATTGATTTCCTAGAAGCGGAAGCCCCCCATCCCCGAAGATAAGCAAAGTTCAGTATAAAGATAGAAGGTTAATATCTTCGGGTTTGCAGAAATAAGGGAGAGGGAAGGAGAGAAGGGTAAGAGGACGGAAGAGAGAGGGAGTGAGAAGAGGACACCCGGCTGGTGCCGAGAGGTTGTGAGACAGAGGCGCCCTGCTCGTCGGAGGACTCGTGAGAAAAGAGAAAGGAGAGGATGCAGCCTAAACGAGGCGGAGAAGAAGCACCAACCTGAGAGGGTCCCTCCTGAGATCCGACGGCTCCTAGAACCAGGACGGACTGGAGACGAAGAAGGACCTCTTCATGGCTTAAACCGGTCATTTGGACTTGGGGTTGTTATTTTCCCCTAAGACCTCACTCGCTCCCCATAAACAGATTTCAGCCAACCCTAATCCCTCCTGACATCCACCTCCATAGCCAGGGACGGACTGGGACCAGAAACCAGCCCGGGCATTTCTAACACACCAGCCCATTGTTTCCCCCTTGAGGCCTCTATTATTAGCCAAATAATGATCGTTCTGCCCACTCAGCTAAAGATGGACCAGCCCATCTGGCATTTTTCAGAACTGCCCTGTGGCCAGTCCGTTTCTGTCACTACCCCAGGCCTGCCTCTCCACCCCTGCCCTGCCTCAGTGCACGGCCGTGTACCTTTGACCAATCTCATCATGGCTCAGGCTCCCTGCCCCAGGGCCCCAAAATCTGAACATCTCAATAACACAGATTTCTGTTCTTCAGAGTGCCAGTAATGATATTAGTAAAACCACAGAGGTTCTGTGGAACAGAACAGTCACGCCGCTCTCACACACACACACACACACACACACACACACACACACACACACACACACACACACACACACACACACACACACACACTGCTGCGAAACAGAACAGTTATGAGGAACACGTTTATAAAGCAGAGAGAGATAGCGAGGAATCACACAGAACTTCAGTAAAGTCTACAGGCATGCTGAGGCTGTGTCTCAAATGGCACCCTATTCCCAATATAGTGCACTACTTTTGACCAGAGTCCTATGGGCCCAGGTCAAAAGTAGTGCACTGTAAATGGAATAGGGTGCCATTTGAGACGCCACTCTTTTAATAAGCTTTACGTATCGGCCTCGAGGCCTTCGCCAGACTTAGGCAGGTTAGAATCATGTCACTTCCCTGTGTGCACAGACAGTGGGTTTTAACATGACAAGTGACAAGTCAACCTGACAGATTGCACACACAGAAATGCATTCAGGCAGGAAAATCGCATTGCATATTTATAAATATCCCAAATTGAAAAGCTACTAAGTTCTCTCTCTCTCTCTCTCTTCTCTCTCTTTTTTTCTCCCCAAAACCACTCTATAAATCCATAATTTGAATAGATTCTTTACCTTGTCTCAAGTCCAGACCAAGACTGATATTTAAATTGTTGTTGTTGTTGTTGTTTATCCCGATTGGACGGACAAACACATCCGCTGTCTGTGTTTACTCTTATGAGGGCAATGTGATTTTTACGGCCATATATACAAGGTCGTGTTGTGTGACCCTCCTACTCACTAGATTTAGCGACAAAGTAGCCTTTCTGAGTGGCTGCTGCGTCCGGCTCCGTTTGGCCCATAATGTCTTCATTATTACACACAGGCTGTATCCCAAACGACACTCTAATCCCTACGGGCCCTGGTCAAAACTAGTGCACTATGTAGTACAATACGTTTGACCAGAGCACTATTGTCAAACTAGTGCACTACATAGGGAATAGGGTGCCATTTGGGACGAACCCACAGTCAGGACGACAGGGTGAGAAACGGCGAGCAAATCCCGTGCCGAATGTCAGAAATGCTTTTGTGCTGTACACTCTGCTCTTTAGGTTATTGGTTGGGCCCCACGTACCGTGTCACACGGGAACATGAAATGTCATTGATGAAGAAGTGGGACTTTTGTTTTGCGGATGTCTTGTGACTTTGAGATGGAGTTGAACATGTTGAGATACAGAGATGTGAGGGTGGGAACTCATATCGGTCAAGGAATCTGATGAAATCTTCTATGTATCGCAGTTCTGAAGCAATATAGAGCAGTATATCAAATCAACGTTTATTGGTCGCGTACACAGATTTGCAGATCTTATCACAGGTGCATCGAAATGTTTATGTTTTTAGCTCCAACAGTGCAGTTATATCTAGCACAATAACCAAAACGTTTTTAAAAAAGCAAGAAATTAAGAGATATCAGAACGAGCAATGTAGAATAGAATGCAGTATATACATATGAGTAGTGCAAGATATGTAAACATTATTAAAGTGACTAGTGTTGCATTTCTTAAAGTGGCCAGTGATTTCAACAGGCAGTAGCAGCCTCTAATGTGCTAGTGATGACTGTTTAACAGTCTGATGACCCGGAGATAGAAGCTGTTTTTCAGTTTCTCGGTAACAGCTTTGATGCACCTGTACTGACCTCGCCTTCTGGATGATAGCGGGGTGAACAGGCAGTGGCTCGGGTTTCTGAGGTCCTTGATGAGCTTCTTGGCCTTCCTGTGACACCGGGTGCCTGTAGATGTCCTGGAGGGCAGGCAGTGTGCCATCGGCGATGCGTTGAGCTGACCGCACCACCCTCTGGAGAGCCCTGCGGTTGTGGGCGGTGCAGTTCCCATACCAGGCGGTGATACAGCCCCACAGAATGCTCACGATGGCGCATCTGTAGATGTTTGTGAGGGTCTTAGGGGCCAAGCCGAATTTCTCCACTGCGGCCCCGTCGATGTGGATGGGGGCGTGCTCTCTCTGCTGTCTCCTGTAGTCCATGATCAAATCAAATCAAATGTTATTTGCCACATGCGCCGAATACAACAGGTGTAGGCCTCAACGTGAAATGCTTACTTACAAGCCCTTAACCAACAATGCAGTTCAAGAAAGAGTTAAGAAAATATTTACTAAATAAACTAAAGTAAAACAAAATTAAAATAAAATAAAAAGTAACACAATAAAATAACAATAACGAGGCTATATACAGGGGGTACCGGTACCGAGAATGTGCGGGGGTACAGGTTAGTCGAGGTAATTTGTACATGTAGGTAGGGGTAAAGTGACTATGTATAGATAATAAACAGCGACTAGCAGCAGTGTAAAAACAAAGGGTGGGTGTGTGTCAATGTAAATAGTCCGGGTGGCCATTAGAATAATTTTTAAGCAGTCTTATGGCTTGGGGGTAGAAGCTGTTGAGGAGCCTTTTGGTCCTAGACTTGGACCTTTTGGTCCTAGACTGTTCGGCCCGCCTTTTCCTGTAGTCCACGATTAGCTCTTTTGTCTTACTCACATTGAGGGAGAGATTGTTGTCCTGGTACCACACTGCCAGGTCTCTGACCTCCTCCCTATAGGCTGTCTCATCGTTGTCGGTGATCAGGCCTACCACTGTTGTGTCATCTGCAAACTGTGTTGTGGTGTTGGAGTCGTGCCTGGCCATGTAGTCATGAGTGAACAGGGAGTACAGGAGGGGACTGAGCATGCACCCCTGAGGGGCCCCCGTGTTGTGGATCAGCGTGGCGGATGTGTTGCTACCTACCCTTACCACCTGGAGGCGGCCCATCAGAAAGTCCAGGAACCAGTTGCAGAGGGAGGTGTTTAGTCCCAGGGTCCTTAGCTTAGTGATGAGCTTTGAGGGCACTATGGTGTTGAACCCTGAGCTGTAGTCAATGAACAGCATTCTCACATAGGTGTTCCTTTTGTCCAGGTGGGAAATGGCAGTGTGGAGTGCGATTGAGATTGTGTCATCTGTGGATCTGTTGGGGCGGTATGCGAATTGGAGTGGGTCTACGGTTTCCGGGATGATGGTGTTGATGTGAGCCATGACCAGCCTTTCAAAGCACTTCATGGCTACTGACGTGAGTGCTATGGGGAGGTAGTAATTTAGGCAGGTTACCTTCGCTTCCTTGGGAACAGGGACTATGGTGGTCTGCTTGAAACATGTATGTATTACAGACTCGGTCAGGGAGAGGTTGAAAATATCAGTGAAGACACCTGCCAGTTGGTCCGCGCATGCTATGCGTACACGTCCTGGTAATCCGTCCGACCCTGCGGCTTTGTGAATGTTGACCTGTTTAAAGGTCTTGCTCACAATGGCTACAGAGAGCGTGATCACACAGTCGTCCGGAACAGCTGGTGCTCTCATGCATGCTTCAGTGTTGCTTGCCTCGAAGTGAGCATAAAAGGCATTTAGCTCGTCTGGTAGGCTCGCGTCACTGGGCAGCTCACGGCTGGGTTTCCCTTTGTAGTCCGTAATAGTTTTCAAGCCCTGCCACATCCGACGAGCGTCAGAGCCTGTGTAGTAGGATTAAATCTTAATCCTGTATTGACGCTTTGCCTGTTTGATGGTTCGTCTGAGGGCATAGCGGGATTTCTTATAAGCGTCCGGATTAGTGTCCCGCTCCTTGAAAGCGACAGCTCTAGCCTTAAGCTCGATGCGGATGTTGCCTGTAATCCATGGCTTCTGGTTGGGATATGTACGTACGGTCACTGTGGAGATGACGTCGTCAATGCACTTATTGATGAAGCCGGTGACTGAGGTGGTATACTCCTCAATGCCATTGGATGAATCCCGGAACATATTCCAGTCTGTGCTAGCACCACTCCACCAGGGCTTTAACCTCCTCCCTGCAGGCTGTCTCGTCGTTGTTGGTAATCAGGCCTACCACTGTTGTGTCATAAGCAAACACGATGATTGAGTTGGAGACGTGGGTAGCCACGCAGTCATGGATGTGCAGTGCAATGGCGATTGCGTTGTCAGTGGATCTGTTGGGGCGGTATACAAATTGCAGTGGGTCTATGGTGTCAGGTAAGGTGGAGGTGATATCATCCCTAACTAGCCTCTCAAAGCACTTCATGATGACAGAAGTGAGGGCTACGGGGCCATAGTTGTTATCATTTTATTTTTTGTATACTTTTTTTTTGTTGTTGTTAAAGTTTTTCCACAAACAAACAAACAAACAAACAAACAAATAAAACATTAAAATAAAACATTGTACAGCATAAAAACATTGAGCATGACATCCAGACATAACCTCCAACATAGCACACGTACACAGTCAAATAGTATCTCACAAGTTACAATACAGAACTAAAAGGGTTCGCAAACATAAGTAATCATCTCCCAGTCTTAGAAACATGACAAATAAAACACGTCCAGCTTTTAGAATTGTTGTTTCTACCAGTGATCCTAGCAAGCAATTGTTCATAAGATGCTACCTCCAACATTGGTTCTATCCACTGCTTCAAAGTAGGAGTCACATGACCCTTCCAGATTCTAAGGGCTACTCTAGCTGCTGTAACCATACCAACAGTGATCAGTGCAAATTCCTCATTTGCTAACTGTGCCACTAGAGATCCTGGTTCGAATCCAGGCTCTGTCGCAGCCAGCCGCGACCGGGAGACTCATGGGCGGCGCACAATTGGCCCAGCGTTGTCCAGGGTAGGGGAGGGAATGGCCGGCAGGGATGTAGCTCAGTTGATAGAGCATGGCGTTTGCAATGCCAGGGTTGTGGGTTCGATTCCCACGGGGGGCCAGTATAAAAAAATTATGTATTCACTAACTGTAAGTCGCTCTGGATAAGAGCGTCTGCTAAATGACTAAAATGTAAAATGTAAATGTAAAATGTTACGTTAGGTAACTCTGTTCTGGCGATAGTCATTTAGTTCAGTTACCTTCACTCTTGGGTACAGGAACAATGGAGAACATATTGAAGCATGTGGGGACAACAGACTGGGATAGGGAGAGATGGAATATGTCCGTGAACACTCCAGCCAGGTGGTCTGCACATGCTCTGAAGACGCGGCTCGTTGTTGTGTTTGTTGTTGTTTTCCTCGAAGCGGGCAAAGAAGGTGCTTAGCTTGTCCACGAGTGAGGAGTCGTGTTCGCGACGAGGCTGGCTTTCCCTTTATGATCTGTGATATCTTTCCCTTTATGATCTGTGATATCTTTCCCTTTATGATCTGTGATATCTTTCCCTTTATGATCTGTGATATCTTTCCCTTTATGATCTGTGATATCTTTCCCTTTATGATCTGTGATATCTTTCCCTTTATGATCTGTGATATCTTTCCCTTTATGATCTGTGATACCTTTCCCTTTATGATCTGTGATATCTTTCCCTTTATGATCTGTGATACCTTTCCCTTTATGATCTGTGATATCTTTCCCTTTCTGATCCCTGCCACATGCGTATCTTTGATCGCCTTACGGAGGTCGTAGCTGGTCTGTTTGTTCACGTTCAATGTTCCCAGTCACCTTGCTGTGGTTAAATGCGGTGGTTTGCGCTTTCAGTTTTGCCTGAATGCTGCCAGCCATCCATGGTTACTGGTCCTAATAGTCCTAATAGTCACAGTAGGAACAGTAGGAACAACATCCTCTATGCACTTCCTGATGAACCCAGTCACCGAGTCAGTGTATATGTTGATACTCGTGACCCAGGAACATTTCCCAGTGCGGGTGATCAAAAAAAAGTATTGAAGCATAGATTCCGATTGGTCAGACCAATGTTGACCAGTCCTTATCACGGGTGCTACTAGTTTAAGTTTCTGCCTATAGGCGGGGAGGAGCAGGATGGAGGCGTGATCTAATTTTCTGAAGGGAGGGCGGGGGAGGGCCTTATAGATGTCCCAGAAGGGAGAGTAACAATGGTCAAAGCGTGTTCTCTTTGCGTGTAGCACAAGATATGTGTTGGTAGAATTTCGGGAGTGTTTTCCTCTGATTTCATTTATTAAAGTCCCCAGCTACAATAAATGCAGCCTCAGGATATGCGGTTTCCAGTTTGCACAAAGTCCAGTGTAGTTCTTTGAGAGGCGTTGCGGTGTTGGCTTGGGGGTGAATATACACGGCAGTGACAATAACCAAAGAAAATTATCTTGGGAGATAATGTGGTTGCCATTTGATGGTGAGGTATCCCAGGTTGGGAGAACAAAAGGACTTGAGTTCCTGTAAGTTTCCACAATCACCCCATGAGTTGTTAATCATTACATACCCTTCCACCATTGTTTTCCCGGAGAGTTCTTTCTTTCTGTCTGTGCAATGAACCCCGCTGGCTGTATGGACTGGGACAATATATCTGGATTGAGCCATGATTCCGTAAAACAGAGTATGTTACAGTCCCTTTGTCTCTCTGAAAGGAGATCCTCGCCCTGAGCTCGTCTTTTTTTATTGTCCAGAGACTGAACATTAGCGAGTAATATACTCGGAAGGTGAGTGACCGCCGATCGAACGTCCAAAAGTTATTTCTGGCTGTAGGAAATAATACTAGAAACGTTCTGAGCAAATAATGTACTGCAAAGTTTGCTAGGAGCTAGGAACAGGGTAACCGTGTCTGTCGGCTCCATCTTGCATATTTAACATATCAGTGATCACATTGCTGTGTCATGTAGTCTGGCTAACTCTATGAGGAGAAAATAGCATTGGGTGTCTGCAGTGGACAGCTACTTTTTGTTCTATAACTATGACAGTAATCCAGGGCATAGTTTCACATTCTGCTCAGGGAAAAGCAGAGAAAAAGATACTTATCTTTTCCAGAGATGTGATTGAAAGGTATCAAAGACAACATACAGTGGCAGATTAACTCATTTCTAAAAAAGTCCAAAATGCCATCATACTTGTTGGGAACATTTTCATTTCCAAAAAACTGTCTACCTTGTTTGTGCTGTAAGGTGCCAGGTGACTTCTGGGAAGCTCTGATTAACAGGGGAGAAGTAGTGGCCAGTATTGCTGGCAGTGATGTAAGTCCAGTCATGATCCAGCTATGAGGGGTGTCAATGTCTGTCTCTGTCCTGTCCCCCCCCCCCCCTCTCTCTCTCTCTCTCTCTTTCTGATTCCCTCACACTCTAATGTCCTGTGGGCAGCAGATTATGCGTGTAGACAAAGAATCTGCTAGGACTGAATGGGATGCGTGAGACAACCAGTCCCTCCGGGATTCTGCGATCGCAACATTTTTGGCAAGATTAACAATGCTTGCATATTATGCGAGGGGCTTGCAAATTTGACCAATCACCACACTATTTCCACATAAAACAGTAAAATCATTGCAATATTATCACATAAAACTGAACCATCACCGCAGTACAAAAAGAGGGCTCGCAATTTCAACCAATCATCGCACATTTACCGCATAATATGGTTCAATCATCCACACGTCAACAAACTTTTTCCCTCGTCAGCGCATTTTCTCGACAAATTGGACAAAATCATCGGAAATTTCCATGCAAAATGTCAGAAATGTGGCAGAAAAATCTAGCATTTTATCCTGCAAATATCACAAAACATGTCAGCGAAATCCCGGAGGGACTGGATAACGAGCAGCATTAGTTCCGTTTTTGGGGTCCCCCCTCCCTTTTGATCACACAGCTGAAGCACTTGAGGCGGTTTATTGCTTCGTTCATGCGCTATCGGAGTTAACAGGGCCTTAGCTGAGAGTTTCCTTTTGCCAGAACTCTCAATTTCTAACACAGTATGAACACAGAAGTTAATCACGCAGCAAATTACACAAGATTTTACTTATGGGTTAACAGAGATTACTCTGATCTCTCTGATCTCTCTGCCCGCTCTCGCTCTCTCTCTCTCTCTCTCTCTCTCTCTCTCTCTCTCTCTCTCTCTCTCTCTCTCTCTCTCGCGCTCTCTCTCTCTCTCTCTTTCTCTATCACACTCTCCCCCTTTCTCTCTCTCTGCCTCTCTCTTGCTTTTTCTCTCGCTCTCCCCTCTCTTGTTTCCCCAAGTTCTGATTTATCTGCCCCTCCCCCCTCTCTCCCCCTCTCCCTTTCTCTCCCCCCTCTTTCCATCTTGCTCTCTCTCCCCCTCCCCCCTCTCTCCCCCTCTCCCTATCTCTCCCCCCTCTTTCCCTCTTGCTCTCTCTCCCCCCTCTCTCTATTCTAGCCTTACATTCCTCACCCTCTTACCCGGAATGGCTCCCTCCACGGCCAGCAGAGACAGAAATAGCACAGTCACAATCTCTCACACAGAATGCTCAGCTCTGGCAAAGTCACAAACCGACAGGCCTCACAGCTCACACACACCAGTCATCTCTCACTGAGGATCAAACCATTATATCAGTGAAGCAGTAGAGCTGGTATGGTTTGTTGTACAGAAGGCCCTGCATGTTGTTTCAATGTTTCAATACTGGCTCCTCTCATATCTTAACATGATTGTAACATAAAGGTGTGTATCCACTCTGGTGGATGTGGCTCCTCTGCATGTAACATAATAAACATAATTGAAATCAGGTTCATTTTAGTTCTGAATTAATGTTGAAAATATGTATTTTCTGGAAGTTGAAATCAGGTTCATTTTCGGTTCTGTCTGAAAGTTGAAAGAACGTAATTTACAGATGTTGAAAATACTTATTTTTTGGTAATTTATTCTATGGCCGCCCCCGCCCGTTCTTCTGTGGGGTTTATTGGCTGGCATCCAACATTATTGTGCATTATCAACTCATCGCTCGCACTAACGCCACGAACCATGCTGGACTGCCCCACCTCCCTCCTGTCCTAGCTTAAACATGGACCAATAGAAGTATACAGAGGGTTTCCCGCAGATGCAGGAACGCCCACATGCAGGAACGCCCACATGCAGGAACGCACAATATCACCCTTCTTGGACATGACAGGACCAACCAAAAAAAGAAGTATAAAGACGGTCCGTGCTTAGTGGGTATATGGGGCGTCCAGAAAGACCAATCAGCACAAGTAAATGAGTTGTTTACAGCTTTGTTAATTTACCGTACATTTATTGTTGTTATTCAGTGTGGAAGGGCTCCCTGTTTGAAAGGGGAAAGTATTTTGACGCACCGCCGGTGAGCGCCGCAGTTATTACGTCAGCTCGAGGACAGGGAAGAAGACAGCTGGCTGTTTCAACACCGGGCAAAACGCAAGACAGAGGAGGTCAGCACTGCGGCAGGGGTTGATTTGGGATCAAATTAGTTCGGTTAAAGAGGTGAGTTTGGATTTTTTGCGTTGTAGAGTTTTCTATAGTGTCAAATGCTCAACAATATAGGCTAAGATAATGTTGGCGCAAGCACGTAAAGACAATAACGGAGCTATAACGGTTTGTTGAGGCTAATATTAGCCCAGCCCAAGCCTATAGTAGCAAGCTTGTGATATGACGGTAATAAACAGACAGATTATTGGTTTGTAAAATGGGACTAAGTGTAAAGAACAACAGAGAGAAAAGAGTTGAACAATGTTGTAAATGTAAAGCAATGGATTGAGCATAGACACGAGTCATGTTTATCATAGATGTCTATTGTATTCAAACAAAGAAAAGTTATGCTTGGTGAACATAAAGTTGTATAATTTTGGGGTGGGAGACTGAGAGATGGGATGTGGTCCTGGACATGTTATGTGACTATAGCGATCGTGAATCAAACTGTGCCTGGTGGCTATTTTAGGAGACTTAACACTGCCGTGGGCTTATCTTAAACAAACTAAGACACATTTCTTAGACTGTTTTATCTCATATCCTCACTAATGGAGAAACTGTCTGAAATCCAACAATTGATTGCAATACTGTGTGCTATGCCAGAGGACAGCTGGTCCTCACTGAGTGCTTCTCCTGTGATATATTCTTAATGAGAATCTGAATGACTTACATCTCATTTGGAAGTCCGACAGGATTCCCTTAATTTACACACAATTTTATAAGCTACACTGTTTTTCCATCTATTGTAGATGACATCATCGTAGACCACGTGTGTTTTGGTTCTAAGTTGACATGCTACAAAACAGTTAAAGAGTGAGAGAACAAGTTTGACCTAACCCTACCTTTGTAGAAGTAGATGTTTCTTTATAAGATGTTATATGTCCCCCCCCACCTCACCTCACCAGATGCTAAAGCTAACTACCACTCTGAAAGGGAATATTGCATCCTTACTGAACTGCAGGAGAGGAGCAGCCAATATTTTTCCTGTGGAAAACGTGGCTATGCTTTATCCACTAGGCCATAAAGCTAACAACCCTATATTTTCCGCCAACGTGTCAGCATGTGGGTGAATGTTAGGTCAAGTGATCCAATTCAAAATGGCCTCCTTGGTCCCTAGGTTCTTCCTAGGTTCATGACTTTCTAGGGATTTCTTTCTAGCCACCCGTGCCTCTACATCTGCATTGCTTGTTCTCTGGGGTTTTAGGCTTGGTTTCTGTAAAAAGTACTTTGTGACAACTGCTGTTGTAAAAAGGGCTATATAAATACATTTGATTGATTTGATATTGATACCATCTTAAACAGCATGTCAAAATGTTTCTGTGTTCTCATTTCTGCTTTCACATATCTTGTCTTGCAGGTTGATTGTTTCCTGCATATCCTTAAAAAGACAAAATATGGGAATGGTAAGTCAAAACCATAATCCTGTCTGCCATTCTCTCAGTGCTATGTGTAGCAACAGTGAAGCTATAAGGATAAACTTATCATATTCCATAATGACTGTATGATAATGAGGTAAGGAAAGAGGAGGGGTCAGATGAGAGTAATTCATTCACTAGCAGCTGTCATCAGCCCTGGGGCGTCTGTTTATGGAGTTGCAATCTACTGTAGAGATAGCCTGCAGAGCTCTATTATACTATCCAGGTCTGTGCCCAAACAGTTTGAGCTTCTACTTCTAAAAATCCACCTTTCCAGAAATAAGTCTCTCACTGTTGCCGCTTGCTACAGACCCCCCTCAGCCCCCAGCTGTGCCCTGGACACCATATGTGAATTGATTGCCCCCCATTTATCCTCAGAGTTCGTACTGCTTGGTGACCTAAATTGGGATATGCTTAATACCCCGGCCATCCTACAATCCAAACTAGATGCCCTCAATCTCACGCAAATTATCAACGAACCTACCAGGTACAACCCTAAATCCGTAAACATGGGTACCCTCATAGATATCATCCTGACTAACATACCCTCTAAATACACCTCAGCTGTCTTCAACCAGGATCTCAGCGATCACTGCCTTATTGCCTGCGTCCGTAACGGGTCCGCGGTCAAACGACCACCCCTCATCACTGTCAAACGCTCCCTAAAACACTTTAGCGAGCAGGCCTTCCTAATTGACCTGGCCCAGGTATCCTGGATGGATATAGATCTCATTCCGTCAGTAGAGGATGCCTGGTTGTTCCTTAAAAGTAATTTCCTCTCAATCTTAAATAAACATGCCCCATTCAAAAAATACAGAACTAAGAACCGATATAGCCCCTGGTTCTCCTCAGACTTGACTGCCCTTGACCAGCACAAAAACATCCTGTGGCGTACTGCATTAGCATCAAATAGCCCCCGCGATATGCAACTTTTCAGGGAAGTTAGGAACCAATATACACAAGCAGTCAGGAAAGCAAAGGCTAACTTTTTCAAACAGAAATTTGCATCCTGTAGCACTAACTCCAAAAAGTTTTGGGACACTGTAAAGTCCATGGAGAATAAGAGCACTTCCTCCCAGTTGCCCACTGCACTGAGGCTAGGAAACACTATCACCACCGATAAATCTACAATAATCGAGAATTTCAACAAGCATTTTGCTACAGCTGGCCATGCTTTCCATCTGGCTACCACTACCCCGGCCACCAACTCTGCACCCTCCGCTGCAACTTGCCCATGCCCCCCCCCGCTTCTCCTTCACACAAATTCAGACAGCTGATGTTCTGAAAGAGCTGCAAAATCTGGACCCCTACAAATCAGCTGGGCTAGACAATCTGGACCCTTTCTTTCTAAAACTAGCCGCCGAAATTGTCGCAACCCCTATTACTAGTCTGTTCAACCTCTCTTTCATAACGTCTGAGATCCCCAGAGATTGGAAAGCTGCCGCGGTCATCCCCCTCTTCAAAGGGGGTGACACTCTAGATCCAAACTGTTACAGACCTATATCCATCCTGCCCTGCCTTTCGAAAGTATTTGAAAGCCAAGTTAACAAACAGATCACCGACCATTTCGAATACCACCGTACCTTCTCCGCTATGCAATCCGGTTTCCGAGCTGGTCATGGGTGCACTTCAGCCATGCTCAAGGTCCTAAACGATATTATAACCGCGATTGATAATAGACAGTACTGTGCAGCCGTCTTCATCGACCTGGCCAAGGCTTTCGACTCTGTCAACCACCGCATTCTTATTGGCAGACTAAATAGCCTTGGTTTCTCAAATGACTGCCTCGCCTGGTTCACCAACTACTTCTCAGATAGAGTTCAGTGTGTCAAATCGGAGGGCCTGTTGTCTGGACCTATGGCAGTCTCTATGGGGGTGCCACAGGGTTCAATTCTTGGGCCGACACTTTTCTCCGTGTATATCAATGATGTCGCTCTTGCTGCTGGTGACTCTCAGATCCACCTCTACGCAGATGACACCATTTTGTATACATTGGCCCTTCATTGGACACTGTGTTAACAAACCTCCAAACGAGCTTCAATGCCATACAACACTCCTTCAGTAGCCTCCAACTGCTCTTAAACACTAGTAAAACTAAATGTATGCTTTTCAATCGAACGCTGCTGGCACCCGCCCACCCGACTAGAATCACCACTCTCGAAGGGTCTGACCTAGAGTATGTGGACAACTACAAATACCTAGGTGTCTGGTTAGACAGTAAACTCTCCTTCCAGACTCACATAAAGAATCTCCAATCCAAAGTTAAATCTAGAATCGGCTTCCTATTTCGCAACAAAGCCTCCTTCACTCATGCTGCCAAACATGCCCTCGTAAAACTGACTATCCTACCGATCCTTGACTTCGGCGATGTCATTTACAAAATAGCCTCCAACACTCTACTCAGCAAACTGGATGTAGTCTATCACAGTGCCATCCGTTTTGTCTCCCAAGCCCCATACACTACCCACCACTGTGACCTGTACGCTCTTGTTGGCTGGTCCTCACTACATGTTCGTCGTCAAACCCACTGGCTCCAGGCCATCTATAAATCACTGCTAGGCAAATCCCCGCCTTATCTTAGCTCATTGGTCACCATAGCAGCACCCACCCGTAGTCTGCGCTCCAGCAGGTATATCTCACTGGTCATTCCCAAAGCCAACACCTCCTTTGGCCGCCATTCCTTCCAGTTCTCTGCTGCCAATGACTGGAACGAATTGCAAAAATCTCTGAAGCTGGAGACTCTTATCTCCCTCACTAACTTTAAGCATCAGTTGTCAGAGCACCTTACCGATCACTGCACCTGTACACAGCCCATCTGAAATTAGCCCACCCAACTACCTCATCCCTATATTGTTATTTATTTTGCTCTTTTGCACCCCAGTATCTCTATTTGCACATAATCTCTTGCACATCTAGCATTCCAGTGTTAATACTATTGTAATTATTTTGCACTATAGCCTATTTATTGCCTTACCTCCATAACTTGCTACATTTGCACACACTGTATATATATTTTCTGTTGTATTTTTGACTTTATGTTTTTTTACCCCATATGTAACTCTGTGTTGTTTTTATTGTTGTTTTTTATTTTATCGCACTGCTATGCTTTATCTTGGCCAGGTCGCAGTTGTAAATGAGAACTTGTTCTCAACTGGCTTACCTGGTTAAATAAAGGTGAAATAAAAATAAATAAATAAAAATATTGTAATGGCAGTAGGCTAGTACAAGGTGTCACTCTTCCCTCAGGCTACCTGGACATGTTATTGACAGACACACACAGAGAGCGAGAGAGAGCTCTGGAAGGCGTACGACAGGCCTGCTTCTCTTATCCTAATACCTAGCCTCGGACACCCAGGTTCCGCTCACCTACGCTCTGAAAGCTCCAGTCAACAAGAGGAGATTTGCAAGGATGGCCCTGCTAGACTATCTAATATCACAACCATGTCCTTTTTGGTTCTGCTGGATCTGTTGGTTGGAGCATGGTATCAGCTACACAAAGAGTAGTGGGTTTGATTCATACTACTGTACATGACCTCTGCACTGCACCATCCTAGCTGCGTTGCCTTGGCAAGACAACCACAAGTTGGCCATAGCACAGACAGACTGATGCCAAGGATAGTGCAGTGTCTGGATGGAAGTTAGCGAGTAGCCAAGCACTGCTGTAGTTTAGTTTTATCATCAAAGCAAATAGCTGTAGTAATTCACTTGTATCATCTGACGATAATGTGATTATCTATGTTCTACTACGCATATTTGCCGCCTGAAAAGTTTGTTTGTTGAAAGGACCGTTGCTATGGTCCCGTTGTTTTGGTTCTGTTGCTACGTGGGTGATACCTCCCAGCTGTCCTGTGGAGTGATGGTCTCTATGGTAGAGCTGTAGTAGGGGCACATCTGAGCATGTGCAGTGGCCTCCTTGGTTTTCTGGCTGGCTGGATTCCTGGGTGGGAGACATTGGCTGTGTGCCTCAATGCAGCAGAAAGAATCTCCACAGAAACAGCAGCTGCATGGATATGTTTCTCAGATACAGGATAAAAAAATACATATCAGATATAGGCTGGGGATTCTTCAAGACAGATCTGTAGTCTCTGAGCAGTTTATTTGGTTCTTGTTTATGACATGATTTTCAACGTGTATTTTCAGGCCATATGAACTCTGGTATGTTCCCGACTGCATGTTTGATTGAATTGCAGCAGTATTGTGGTTTGTTGTTACTGTGTTGATTAGAGGTCAGCTTCTCTGAAGCCGAGTCAGACCCCTGCAGAGTGAGCAGGTCTGTGTGTGTGTAACCAGACTCCCTGTTCCTCCCTCCTACACTGCTGTTCTGGAGGGGGCAGCTGTAGTCAGGGGGACAGACGGGTGTCAGCTGTCTGTCTGCCTGTCAGCCCTCTACTCAGGGCCGGCTGGGCCTCAGACTGTAGCCACAGCCCCTTCCTGCCCCCTGTACACCCACACAGCCCCTACCTGCCCCCTGTACACCCACACAGCCCCTACCTGCCCCCTGTACACCCACACAGCCCCTACCTGCCCCCTGTACACCCACACAGCCCCTTCCTGACCCTACCTGCCCCCTGTACACCCACACAGCCCCTTCCTGACCCTTCCTGCCCCCTGTACACCCACACAGCCCCTTCCTGACCCTACCTGCCCCCTGTACACCCACACAGCCCCTTCCTGACCCTTCCTGCCCCCTGTACACCCACACAGCCCCTTCCTGAACCTTCCTGCCCCCTATACACCCACACAGCCCCTTCCTGACCCTTCCTGCCCCCTGTACACCCACACAGCCCCTCAAAGGCTGTCACATACTCCCACACTGCCCACATACACACCCATGGCCCTTTACACAGCCCCTGACTCCCCTGTGACTGTAATTCATTCTGGGATAGGCCCAGACCCTTTCCCCTGCTCTGAAACTCATGTTGTGAATGAGAATGTGTTCTTTAACAACTGACCTGACAAAGTTAACAAAACTCTAACCCTCCTCTGAAACCTTGCCCCAGGCCATTGTTATGAATGTGTTCTTTAACAACTGACCTGATGAAGTTGATAAAAAGTCATGAATATTTTCCCAGGGGTTCCGAGGCACAGTAACCGATGCTCCAGACTTTGATGCCAGTGCAGATGCTGAGGCTCTCTACAATGCCATGAAAGGCATCGGTGAGTAACAGTGTAGCTACGCTCAGTGTCTTCTGTAGGGCAGGGGTACACTAGCCTGGTAAAAAAACAAACTCAACACTGCACACCTTTTTGTTTCAGTTGACTTCTGTCTGGTTTATGAACCAGGCTAGAGATGCACAACTCCAACACCAGTATTCACGGCTGCTTAGAACAGGGCTGTCCAACCCTGTTCCTGGAGATCTACCGTCCTGTAGGTTCTCTCCGACCCTGTTCCTGGAGATCTACCGTCCTGTAGGTTCTCTCCAACCCTGTTCCTGGAGATCTACCGTCCTGTAGGTTCTCTCCGACCCTGTTCCTGGAGATCTACCGTCCTGTAGGTTCTCTCCGACCCTGTTCCTGGAGATCTACCGTCCTGTAGGTTCTCTCCGACCCTGTTCCTGGAGATCTACCGTCCTGTAGGTTCTCTCCAACCCTGTTCCTGGAGATCTACCGTCCTGTAGGTTCTCTCCGACCCTGTTCCTGGAGAGCTACCGTCCTGTAGGTTCTCTCCAACCCTGTTCCTGGAGATCTACCGTCCTGTAGGTTCTCTCCGACCCTGTTCCTGGAGATCTACCGTCCTGTAGGTTCTCTCCGACCCTGTTCCTGGAGATCTACAGTCCTGTAGGTTCTCTCCGACCCTGTTCCTGGAGAGCTACCGTCCTGTAGGTTCTCTCCAACCCTGTTCCTGGAGATCTACCGTCCTGTAGGTTCTCTCCGACCCTGTTCCTGGAGAGCTACCGTCCTGTAGGTTTTCACTCTTAACCATAATCTAGCGCACCTGATTCTAATAATTAGCTGGTTGATAAGAATCAGGTTAGTTACAACTGAGGTTGGAGCGAAAACCTACAGGAGGGTAGCTCATCGAAATAGAATAGAATCATTCTATTTCAATGGTGTAGCCCTCCAGGAACAGGGTTGGGCAGCCCTGGCTTAGAAGGTTCTAAGGTAAAATGTTACTGATGATCTTCTTCTGTGCTCTGCAGGCAGCGACAAGGAGGCCATCTTGGATTTGGTCACTGGCAGAAGCAATGCTCAGAGACAGGAGATTGTACAGGCGTACAAGTCTAGCTATGGGCAGGTACAGGAACATCACATCATATAACTTCTAACATCACGTCTATCATCCTATTTCTGTACCTTTCCAGAACTGGACCTGGATCGCATTGAAATTACAGTTTGTTTTTTTGGAAATTAATTTACATAAACATCACTATGTATCATTTGGTGGTGAATGCTTTCAGGTAAATACCAGAAAGTACCCATTGTTACTGTGACCCACTCCAGATCTTTAGTTAATACCAGGTAAATACTGGATCAGGTAAGTACCAGCTAAAACCACGGTGGAAAATAAAGCTATAACACAAATTACACCATTCAGTGTGCCATTTGTTAGAAGGTACAATACATTCTTAGTTAAATTCCAGAGGTGCACGCATCAAGGGAAATAGTTTGTGAACGTTAGCTAACATTTCCCATTTGTGTTGTTTTGTGCTAACGTTAGCTAACAGTCTGAGAAGGTAGTGTGCGGCGAACGTAAGTTTCTGTTTTGGGGTCTAAACTGCCACGACAAATAATAATGTGGCCATGTAAGGTTTCTATTACATGTAGTAGGAATAGCAAAGTCATTTGCAGTTTGATTATTGTCCCTAAACTGCCACAGTTATCCTTGTAAAAATGACCTGTTTGATGTTTCACTGTAACACTTTGGAATGTTCATTTGAAATCGTTCAACTGAAATTGTTACTAAGGAACGTGTTTGTTGAACTAACAGAAGCGTTGTTGAACTCACTACACTCTACTGAGCCTTCTGCACATTGTGTCACACACCATGACAGGATAACTTCATAACAAGACATGTCTCTTACTAATTATGTTGAATTCTTTAAGGGGAGTTTGTCCAGTCAATTCACAAGTCAGTGTGTCACACACCATGACAGGATAACTTCATAACAGACATGTCTCTTACTAATTATGTTGAATTCTTTAAGGGGAGTTTGTCCAGTCAATTCACAAGTCAGTGTGTCACACACCATGACAGGATAACTTCATAACAGACATGTCTCTTACTAATTATGTTGAATTCTTTAAGGGGAGTTTGTCCAGTCAATTCACAAGTCAGTGTGTCACACACCATGACAGGATAACTTCATAACAGACATGTCTCTTACTAATTATGTTGAATTCTTTAAGGGGAGTTTGTCCAGTCAATTCACAAGTCAGTGTGTCACACACCATGAGAGGGTAACTTCATAACAGACATGTCTCTTACTAATTATGTTGAATTCTTTAAGGGGAGTTTGTCCAGTCAATTCACAAGTCAGTGTGTCACACACCATGAGAGGGTAACTTCATAACAGACATGTCTCTTACTAATTATGTTGAATTCTTTAAGGGGAGTTTGTCCAGTCAATTCACAAGTCAGTGTGTCACACACCATGAGAGGGTAACTTCATAACAGACATCCCTCTTCCCCAGGACCTGGTAGATGACCTGAAGTATGAGCTGACGGGGAAGTTTGAACGTCTCATCGTCAGTCTGATGAGACCCCAGGCCTACCATGACGCCAAAGAGATCCACGATGCCATTGAAGTGAGATACTGTAGTAGACGTCCACCATGCCATCAAATGATTATATTCAGGAAGTAAAAAGTTAAGAAACAGGAAAATGATAAGAGTTGATAGTACCCACATCAGACGCCACATACTAAAGTAACTGTTACACAGCCCAGTTGATAACTTATGCCATTCTGTATTTAATGAAATGCTTTATTTCTAAGGGGGCAGGAACAGATGAGAAGTGCCTGATTGAAGTCTTGGCCTCCAGGAACAACCAACAGATACACGACCTGGTGGAGGCATACAAGGATGGTAAGATCTGTTTCTTTCCTCCCATTAGATGGTAAGATATATTTATTCCACTCATTAGATGGTAAGATATATTTATTCCACTCATTAGATGGTAAGATATATTTATTCCACTCATTAGATGGTAAGATATATTTATTCCACTCATTAGATGGTAAGATATATTTATTCCACTCATTAGATGGTAAGATATATTTATTCCACTCATTAGATGGTAAGATATATTTATTCCACTCATTAGATGGTAAGATATATTTATTCCACTCATTAGATGGTAAGATATATTTATTCCACTCATTAGATGGTAAGATATATTTATTCCACTCATTAGATGGTAAGATATATTTATTCCACTCATTAGATGGTAAGATATATTTATTCCACTCATTAGATGGTAATATATATTTATTCCACTCATTAGATGGTAAGATATATTTATTCCACTCATTAGATGGTAAGATATATTTATTCCACTCATTAGATGGTAAGATATATTTACGTCAACCCATTAGATGGTGAATCTTGGAGATGCCTGCAGATCCATCAAACAATCGATCTTGATCTTGAGCATCAAAACATGATCACAATGAGTGCAAAAAGCCAAATACACTTACAGTATGACATAAACCATATGATGATAATAATAATTTATTAAACTTTTATAGCACTTTTTATTACAATCGCAAAGAGCTTTAAGCAACAACAACAACAACAACAACATACAATTTAGAAAAACCAAAACAAATAGTTCATGGTCGATCATGGCAGGCAGGGTAGTTCATTAATGGTTTGAGGCAGTCAGCACCAGGAGGAAGGGTAGAGTAGAGGCAGTTCGGAGATGAAACAGAGGGGGGTCACATCCAGGGGTTGTCAGACTGGTCCAGAGCCGTTTAACAGGGCACCCTGGCCCTTGCCGTCTCTGAAGCAGTGCTTCTCAGTAGTAGTCTCTGAAGTCAAACTCCATGGGTACAACTTCTCCACTACCGATGTGTAGCACCCACCTAGGTGACGATCCGACAGCAGCGAAAGCACCAGAAAAGCACGCAGCACATCAGTCCAGAATAGTCTGCCTTGAAGCTAACCTCTGGAGAAAACTGCTCAAAACTTCAACTTCAACTGCCATCTCCAAACACCACTCCGTTACTTTGAATCAAAGCAGATAGCAAGTTAGCCATCTTAGCTTCGTGATGACAGTGACTCATTAGTTAGGTGAAACCAACTGACTTGCCAGTCATGCCATGCCGATAGCTAACAAATTAGCTAACAAAAACAAAAATGTTATTAAAAAAATGCAATCAAAAGTACTTCAAAAGTATTACATTTTAAATATTAAATATGTACACATTTACAGGAGCCCCTAGTCTAGGTTGCTATTCCGGCGTCACGGCAACGATGGAACCTCAAATATAGTACATCACAGCTATAGTATGAAATACAGCTGACACACACCAAATACAGATGTAGGATTTTGATTTGATCACTCTTTTGTTGCTGAGAATTTTGCTGCACAGCAGGAAATGCAAACTTGTAGTGTATTCAAGGCTTCTGGAGTTTGTAATTTTCACTTGAAATCCCGTTTGCTGTTGCTGCAGGAAATGTGAAACTGGTCAAATTAAGGGTGTGTTCGTAAATTCAATCTGGAGTGCCAGAGGGCTCTCAGAGTGCGCTCTGGGCGTTCGTAAAATTCAGAGGGTTGTCAGATTGTCCTTTTGTAAATTCAGAGCGTTTCGCTCTCGGAGCGTTCAGAGCGCCCACTGGATACTCTGGCCAAGGAGTAGAGTTGATCCGAGCGTTCTGACCTCACAACAGCAGTCAAGCACCCAAGCTAACTGGCTAAAGAGAACAGCTCACTCTGACCATTTTACTCACCATAGCAGAGCTGGTTAGGCTCTTTTCATGTTATCTAGAGCGTTGGTGACTGCAACTGTGCTGCTGGCAACAATTTAATGACGCTTTTTTTACCTAGGTTTACTGCCACCGGCCATATTCAACCCGTGTTGAGCGTTCGTAAATGCGTCAGTTATTCTACGCTCTGGCACGCTGAGACGAGAGCACTCTGAAATCGGAGTAGATGGCCAGAGCGAATTTACGAACGCACCCCAAGATTAGACATCCAGACTGCTACAGTACAACACACTAAATATTGAATCCATTTTGAATTCAGGCTGTAACACAACAACATGTTGAATAAGTCAAGAGGTATGAATACTTTATGAAGGCACTGTATAACCCCAAAATGATCTGTCCTTGCAAGTTGTAGTGTATGACAATTTCAGATTGCACAAAGTAGTTTGGATGTAGTAACTTTAGTTAAGTAAACTATATATATATAGACAGTGGCGGCTCCTGAAAAAATTCTCAGGAGGGGCAATTTTTCTGATGATTTAGGTGACCTACACACGTGCACGAGTCCGTGCACGCGATTCCAGATATCTTTACCTCTGAATAAACTGCCTTTATTATACCATATCCACCCTGTCCAAAGTCTCTACTTGGTCTCAGTTCTCCAGTAAACTTGTGATTATCAACAGTACACAACGGTAACAAACAATTGGGGGAACTCACGGGGCAGATAGTAACCACTTAAAAGGAAGCGATTCCCAAACCTTCCATAACAAAGCCATCACCTACAGAGAGATGAACTTGGAGAAGAGTCCCCTAAGTAAGCTTGTCCTGGGCCTCTGTTCACAAACACAAACAGACCCCACACAGCCCCAGGACAACAACAACAACAACAACAACAACACAATTAGACCCAACCAAATCATGAGAAAACAAAAAGAGAATTACTTGACACATTGGAAAGAACAAACAAAAAAACAGAGCAAACTAGAATGCTATTTGGCCCTAAACAGAGAGTACACAGTGGCAGAATACCTGACCACTGTGACTGACCCAAACTTAATGAAAGCTTTGACTATGTACAGACTCAGTGACCATAGCCTTGCTATTGAGAAAGGCCGCCGTAGGCAGACCTGGCTCTCAAGAGAAGACAGGCTATGTGCACACTGCCCACAAAATGAGGTGGAAACTGAGCTGCACTTCCTAACCTCCTGCCAAATGTATGACCATATTAGAGACACATATTTCCCTCAGATTACAGCGATCCACAAAGAATTCGAAAACAAACCCAATTTTGATAAACTCCCTTATCTACTGGGTGAAAAACCACAGTGTGCCATCACAGCTGCAAGATTTGTGACCTGTTGCCACAAGAAAAGGGCAACCAGTGAAGAACAAACACCATTGTAAATACAACCCATATTTATGTTTATTTATTTTCCCATTTGTACTTTAACTATTTGCACATTGTAACAACACTGTATATATACATAATATGACATTTGAAATGTCTTTATTCTTTTGAAACTTCTGAGTGTAATGTTTACTGTTAATATTTATTGTTTATTTCACTTTTGTTTACTATCTACTTCCCTTGCTTTGGCAATGTTAACACACGTTTCCCATGCCAATAAAGCCCTTAAATTGAATTGAATTGATAGTAAGGTCGCAATGACACAGAAAGCAGTTCAATGTCGGGGTACAGAGTCGCTCTCTTACCAGGATCGCGGTCCGCTCTGACCAGGGTGAAGGTGGCCGGCTCCACTTCTCTGTCCGGGACTCATCCAGCCAAGTCTCCCAGCTGTATTGGGATTCAGCTGCCAGCAGCGTTTTCATTATTTAGTCCGTTCGTAGCGGGTATGTACACGATCAACAAGATCAGTCCAAAACCAACCACTGGAAATCCATGGTTGGCAGAATGTTTGTAAACTAAGTCTACAAATTAAAAACATAAAATAACGCCGCACTGCAGGTCGCAACAGAGACGCTTCTAGCCGCCATTGTCTTAGTTACGTTCAACGTTACGTCACGTATGACGAAAGCGCGTAAGTGCAAGCCCACAGACACCCATAGAGAATGTATTGAAAGCTTTGAAATGTGAAAAAAATAGATTTTACATGACAGGCTATGAGAGACTTCTGGGCGATTTTCAACTTGACTGAAATCGCCCCAAAAACGGGCGGGGCCATTTGAAGCACGACTTTAGCCTGATTTGACATTTAGTGGCTGGCAGATCAGACGTGAACACTGATAACTGCTGTTGCCGTGATATAATTGATTAGAAAAAAAATCCCTTCCTTTTCCCGTTTGGCAGTGCGTCGCCCATATCGCCCTATTGAACAAGCCGTCCCTGTATATAGATATAGATAGATATATCGCCGCCATTGGATTCCGGAGCAGTGAAACGCGTTCTCTGTAGTGATTAATCACGCTTCACCATCTGGTAGTCCGACGGACGAATCTGGTTTTGGCGGATGCCAGGAGAACGTTACCCGCCCCAATACATAGTGCCAACTGTAAAGTTTGGTGGAGGAGGAATAATGGTCTGGGGTTGTTTATCATGGTTCGGGTTAGGCGGCTTAATTCCAGTGAAGGGAAATCTTAACGCTACAGCATACAATTACTTTCTAGACGTGTCTGTGCTTCTAACTTTGTGGCAACAGTTTGGAGAAGGCCCTTTCCTGTTTCAGCATGACAATGCCACCGTGCACAAAGCGAGGTCCATACAGAAATGGTTTGTCGAGATCGGTGTGGAAGAACTTGACTGGCCTGGACAGAGCCCTGACCTCAACCCCATCGAACACCTTTGGGATGAATTGGAACGCCGACTGCGAGCCAGGCCTAATCGCCCAACATCAGTGCCCGACCTCACTAATGCTCTTGTGGCTGAATTGAAGCAAGTCCCCGCAGCAATGTTCCAACATCTAGTGGAAAGCCTTCTCAGAAGTGTGGAGGCTGTTATAGCAGCAAAGGGGGGGACCAACTCCATATTAATGCCCATGATTTTGGAATGAGAAGTTCGACGAGCAGGTGTCCACATACTTCTGGTCATGTAGTGTATGACAAACGCAGCATGTTCCAGTGAAATCCTGGTTGTATTATTAACCGTCTGTGTTGTTACTGTCTTCAGCTTACGGCTCAGACATCGAGGAGGACCTGACAGGAGAGTCCTCCGGGCACTTTAAGAAGATGCTGGTTGTTTTACTCCAGGTCAGTTGTTTTACAAAGGTCACAGGAAACAGGAAATGTAATTGATCTAATGTGCTTTTACTATTTGAAAGGCTGTCAATAGCTTGTTTTCTAGCTTGAGTTTTTTTGTAAGTAGATATAGTCTGGGTACCAATCTGTTACCTAACTTGTTGTTGTCCTAACCAAAGCATTTGTATAGCTGTTTAGTCAGTCTTAGTGTGTGTGTGTGTGTGTATTTCCAGGGGACCAGAGATGAGCCAGGAGTAGTGCATGCTGACCTAGTGGAGGAGGATGCTCAGGTGAGTGTTTAAAAGCAGTAGTACAGGACACATTCACCACAATACAAACACCAAGCATTTGTTATCCTTTCGTTTCCCTTCCTAGCCCTATCAACCCCTTTTCTAGCCGTCTCTAACTATCCCTTTTCAACACTTTTCAACACTTTTCAACACTTTCAGGTGCTGTTTGCAGCCGGGGAGGAGCAGTGGGGCACAGAGGAGTCCATATTCATTATGTTGCTGGGAAACCGCAGTGTCGACCACCTGCAGATGGGTGAGTATAACACACTGGGGTACATAAACACGAGGCAGAGAGTGACAACAGTATCATGACCTCAGCCTGACCAGAACACTGGCTACGTCCCAAATGGCACCCTGCACCCTACATAGTACGCTGTCTGTAACCCATAGATGTTAAAAGCAGTGCACTATGCAACGAATAGGGTGCCATTTGGGACGCATCCATTGTCACATCAGTGTGGCATCTACTAGTGTGAATCGGTCATTGCTTCTCACACCCACAACATACAGGGACCCTGGTTGTATCAGGCTGCTGAGTTATGTGTCTGACCCTGTACATTACAGTCTATGGTCTGGGCTCAGTAGTTCACTGACTAGGATACCGTGCCAGGGAATGACTCCATTCTCTCTCTTCTTCCTGCAGTGTTTGATAAGTACCAGGAGATAGCAGAGAAGCCCATAGAGGACAGTATCAAGAGCGAGCTGTCTGGGGACTTTGAGAGACTCATGCTGGCTGTCGGTACGCGTTGACTCTTTCTGATAACACACATGAAGATCCTTTCGCCTGGGTAAAATCAGACGGAACCAAATTGAAATCAAATGGAACACCGTTGAGTGAACTCCCCATCGTTCAGTCTGGTTTAATCAGGCTAAAAGATCATACCTAGTCAAGTCATCCATGAACTCTTATTCCAACATGTCTGTCTTGTGCTCACTGTCTCCTACAGTCCAGTGCATCAGGAGTGTACCTATGTACTTCGCCAAGCGTCTCTATAAGTCTATGAAGGTAAAATCAACTGCTTCTTCTTATTAAGGTCTTTCAGTCTCCGCTGCACTCGTATCAAACTCACTCTGACCAACAATCTGTCAATTCGATTCAATAAGGGCTGTATTGGCATGGGAAACATATGTTTACATTGCCAAAGCAGGTGAAATAGATAATAAACAAAAGTTGAAATATGTGTCTCTAATATGGTCATACATTTGGCAGGAGGTTAGGAAGTGCAGCTCAGTTTCCACCTCATTTCTCTCTCTCTCGCTCTCTCTCCCCCCTCCCTCCCTCTTTCTCTCTCTCTCTCTATTTCTCACTTTCTCTCTATCTCTCTCCTCCCTCCCTCCTTCTCTCTCCCTCTCTCTCCTCCCTCCCTCCTTCTCTCTCTCCCTCTATCTCCATCCCTACTCTCCAGGGTCTTGGTACGCAAGACAACACTCTGATTAGGATCATGATCTGTCGTTCTGAGATAGACATGCTGGATATCCGGGAGTGCTTCCGTATGTGCTATGAGAAGTCCCTGTACAACATGATCCAGGTGATACAACTTAAACGTAATTTATCTTAAACCCATAGATATTTTGATCCTATAGATTGTAACCTCTAGATGTAACAATGCCTCTTGTTTGAAGTTCTGTCTTAGTTACCTTGTCTTGTGACTGAGATAAGAGTGACTTTATGACTCCATACTTACTGTATATCTCCCTGTCTATCTAACTAGCTATCTGTCTATCTAACTAGCTGTCTGTCTGTCTGTCTAACTAGCTATCTGTCTATCTAACTAGCTATCTGTCTATCTAACTAGCTGTCTGTCTGTCTGTCTAACTAGCTATCTGTCTATCTAACTAGCTATCTGTCTATCTAACTAGCTATCTGTCTATCTAACTAGCTATCTGTCTATCTAACTAGCTATCTGTCTATCTAACTAGCTATCTGTCTATCTAACTAGCTATCTGTCTATCTAACTAGCTATCTGTCTATCTAACTAGCTATCTGTCTATCTAACTAGCTGTATGTCTGTCTGTCTAACTAGCTGTCTGTCTATCTAACTAGCTATCTGTCTATCTAACTAGCTGTCTGTCTGTCTGTCTAACTAGCTCCCTGTCTATCTAACTAGCTATCTGTCTATCTAACTAGCTGTCTGTCTGTCTGTCTAACTAGCTATCTGTCTATCTAACTAGCTATCTGTCTATCTAACTAGCTATCTGTCTATCGGTCTATCTATCTGTCTATCTAACTAGCTATCTGTCTATCTAACTAGCTATCTGTCTATCTAACTAGCTATCTGTCTATCTAACTAGCTATCTGTCTATCTAACTAGCTGTCTGTCTGTCTGTCTAACTAGATATCTGTCTATCTAACTAGCTATCTGTCTATCTAACTAGCTATCTGTCTATCTAACTAGCTATCTGTCTATCTAACTAGCTATCTGTCTATCTGTATAGCTCCCTGTCTATCTAACTAGCTATCTAACTAGCTATCTGTCTATCTAACTGTCTATCTGTCTATCTAACTAGCTGTCTGTCTATCTAACTAGCTATCTGTATATCAGAATATCTCCCTGTCTATCTAACTAGCTACTGTATCTGTATATCTGTATATCTCCTGTATATCTGATATCTCTAGCTGTCTATCTGATATCTGTATATCTCCCTGTCTAACTATCTGGCTTTCTATCTATCTGTATATCTCCTGTATATCTGATATCTCTGTCTATCTGTATATCTCCTGTATATCTGATATCTCTGTCTATCTGTATATCTGATATCTCTGTCTATCTGTATATGTCCCTGTCTGTCTAAGTAGCTTTCTGTTTATCTGTACATATCCCTGACCTGTATATCTTTCAACATGGTATCTTAATGTTCCGTCTGGTCTTCTACCCAACAGGAAGACACATCAGGAGATTACAAGAGGACTCTGCTCGCCCTGTGTGGAGGAGATGATGAGTAAGTTAGATTACTGCTGATTGATGGAGCTCATCATTACTGTGTTTTGCAGTAGTTCGTTTACACCACTTGGGGGCGACATTGTACCCTCTAAATGTATCCACAGTTGGCAGATTCAACAATGCCTTTTTTTGAGACAACATTAAGCCAAGGAGCTGAAACCCAAAGCTTCCCTAAAAAGTGAGAGAATTTAGAATGAAATGTTGTCATAGTTCAGGAATCAGTCAGAGGAGAAATACTGTTCATATATAATTCTCAACGGGAAAACCTAAAGGGTCAGAACAGGGTCTGGTTATAGTGTAAGCCTGAATGCCAGACTGTTTGTGCTGTCATGCCAACTCCATGGCACTCATTGTCATACCAACATGATGTTTGGCTTGACAAGGACAGCAATTAAGTTGGCAAGAGTACAAACAGATCTGTGACCAGGCTAGCGTAGGTTAGGGCTACAGCTGGGTCATTCCAACGATTCAGTGCCTTTTTGAGAAGTGTAACTTGGTTTAAAAATGAAACTTTTGATTTCACCTAATTTTAACATTCTTTCATAAAGAGCACATGTTCAACTAAATAAAAAAACATGTCAAGAGGTTAATTAATAAAATACTATAGTAAGGCCTATTAAGTGCCAAATAAAGTAACAGGGTTGACCGTAACAGGGGTTGACCGTAACAGGGGTTGACCGTAACAGGGGTTGACCGTAACAGGGGTTGACCGTAACAGGGTTGACCGTAACAGGGTTGACCGTAACAAGGTTGACCGTAACATGGCTGACCATAATAGGGGTTGATGATTTCATCCTTTCCCATTAGTTTGTAGGCCAAACGGTTCGGCGCTACCAAACAGAAGTTGGCACATCGACGGTACCGACTTCAGACGAGTCTCCTGACACTTTTGGGGGTCGTAGAGCAAATCGGAGACCACCCATCATGAGAGGCTCATCTTTCCATAGAGGGGTCATAATAGTTTGTAGGTCAAACCGTTCGGACGCTACAGACGTTTACGTGAGAACACCAATTTTTGGGACGTCTCATGGTCTGACAAACCCCTCTCTAGCTCTGACACCACAGATGAGGAAGTGCGACACTGGCGGATGCGGTGGATTGAGACGCATCCAATGCAAAAAATATCTGTAGTTTAAACTGACGGATTTTGATGGGGATTTTTTTTGTTATGTAATTTAGACTGTTGTACCGGTGCGTTAATCGACTGTAGGGGGTTAAATCAGCCATAAATCCCCTTGTGACTGGCGAAATGAAAGCGTGTTGTGTGCAACAGGGAGTGGAAATTGAATGCATGCTTCACCATTTATTTATTTATTGTTAAAACATTTCTATTCGGGTGCTGATGACGTCGATTTTTCCTCTCTGATTCAGAGGGAAATGCTCGAAGACACATTTCGTTTGAATGCATTCAGTTGTGCAGCTGACTAGGTATCTCCCTTTCCTTGCCTATCGATGGGTAACAGCGTTGACGTGTGATGCTTGACCCACTCAGTTTTCCACCACAAAACACCAGAAAATGTCCAGAAAGAGTAGAACCAGCTCACATGCTTTTACACTATGATTTGACTGTTCAGTGTTTCTTTTGAAGAAAATTTGTTTTCTAAAGGAATTGTTTCACTATATTAAAACGAGAGTTCAGTTCACGTAACAGGGTTGACCTTAAAATGAGGGACTGACGTAAATTGATCGCTAATCAGATTAAATAAATGATAATCTTCAGAAAGGACTTTGTCAAAGCAACAAAATAACTAGGGCTTCACAATGATGGTGAAACTTTTGCAATGTTTGGATTAAATGGGTTAAAATCTTCCTAGAAGTGACACAGGGTTGACGGCGGGACATGTCCAAATGCTGAATCTTGGCACTTTAGCAAGACTTTTTCATATAAATAAATCAGATTTATTGAATTCCCCATGTGGTCTATATTAAAGGGCACTTCATTTAATATAACAGGTTTTTAAAAATTCAATATTGGTGCACAATTTCTACTTAAAATATCAAAGGGACGCAAAAGGCCCTCATTTCATGGAACGACCCAGCTACTTTAGGAAACTATTATTAGGAGAGCAAACAGAGTTGGCAAAGCAAAGGAACATCATGTCATGTTGAATGTGTCAGATTTCAGGAAATTACCCCAGTGTGTATTAGATAGCCAGTTCTCTTTGGATGTGTTGTTGGGGGGGTCAGGGTTAGCTCTGTGGTTTTGTTGTTGGGGGGGTCAGGGTTAGCTCTGTGGTTTTGTTGTTGGGGGGGTCAGGGTTAGCTCTGTGGTTTTGTTGTTGGGTGTGGGGGGGGGTCAGGGTTAGCTCTCTGGTTTTGTTGTTGGGGGGGTCAGGGTTAGCTCTGTGGTTTTGTTGTTGGGGGGGGGGGTCAGGGTTAGCTCTCTGGTTTTGTTGTTGTTGGGGGGGTCAGGGTTAGCTCTGTGGTTTTGTTGTTGGGGGGGGGTCAGGGTTAGCTCTGTGGTTTTGTTGTTGGGGGGGTCAGGGTTAGCTCTCTGGTTTTGTTGTTGGGGGGGTCAGGGTTAGCTCTGTGGTTTTGTTGTTGGGGGGGGGTCAGGGTTAGCTCTGTGGTTTTGTTGTTGGGGGGGTCAGGGTTAGCTCTGTGGTTTTGTTGTTGGGGGGGTCAGGGTTAGCTCTGTGGTTTTGTTGTTGGGTGGGGGGGGGGGTCAGGGTTAGCTCTGTGGTTTTGTTGTTGGGGGGGGGGTCAGGGTTAGCTCTCTGGTTTTGTTGTTGGGGGGGTCAGGGTTAGCTCTCTGGTTTTGTTGTTGGGGGGGTCAGGGTTAGCTCTCTGGTTTTGTTGTTGTGGGGGGTTAAGTTGACTCATGATTAGGGTTGATTAGATACATTTTATTATTACAGTGTCTTGCATCTTCAGGATGCCCAGCCCAGATGGGCTTATAAGCCACTGTCTGTTTTTATGATTCAGTGTGTCCTTGACTCCTTAACTCATTGGTATATCATTGGTAATTGCAGCCTAGCAGGAGAGTTCTTCCCAGAGGCTGCTCAGCTAGCCTACAAGATGTGGGAAATAAGCGCCATGACCAAAGTCCAGGTTCGGCCCGTGCCCTCTGACCTCTACTCACACATCCCAAATTGCACCCTATTCCTATTTAGGGCACTAGTGGGTTCTGGTCAAAAGTAGTGCACTGTATAGGGTGCCATTTGGGACACATCCCTTTTTGCCCCTTTGGACCTAAAAAATAGTGCACTAAGTAGGATTCCATTTTAGATTTGCTCATAGTATAGATTGCATGTTTGTTCTGGCTCTGGCATGCATCTCATTACCTTTACAAGGATCTCTTCCCTTGCTGTGGCCCCTCAACCCGTGCTGATAACTCTACCATCTCTTCCCTTGCTGTGGCCCCTCAACCCGTGCTGATAACTCTACCATCTCTTCCCTTGCTGTGGCTCCTCAACCCGTGCTGATAACTCTACCATCTCTTCCCTTGCTGTGGCCCCTCAACCCGTGCTGATAACTCTACCATCTCTTCCCTTGCTGTGGCCCCTCAACCCGTGCTGATAACTCTACCATCTCTTCCCTTGCTGTGGCCCCTCAACCCGTGCTGATAACTCTACCATGTGTGTGTGTGTGTGTGTGTGTGTCTATGTGTGTGTGTCTGTGTGTGTGTGTCTATGTCTGTCTGTGTGTGTGTACTATATCTGATTTGTCCCCTGCCCCCTCTCATCCTCTCATCCTGTCTTCTTCAGCTCAGACCAACCATCCGTCCTGCCAGTGATTTTGACCCAGCTGATGATGCTCAGAACCTGAGGAAAGCCATGAAAGGCTTTGGTACGCTTCCTCCCATGGAAAACACCTCACCTTTACTCTGATGTTAATGACATTGTTGGAACTGGTTCATACATCATATGGTGTTTGTATGAAACATATATATATATATATATGTCTGATAAAACAGGTATTTATAACCATTGTTCCTGCCGTGTCTACAGGCACAGATGAAGACATCATCATTGACATTGTGGCAAACAGGAGCAACGAGCAGAGACAGGAGATCAGACAGGCCTTCAAGTCCATCCTCGGCAGGGTAAGACGGACATCCCCAACACTCACATAGTAGCGCTTTACATTGTAACGTGAAACCCACCGCATCCAAAACTCAATGTGTGTGCTAGAATGTGATGACATCATTCCAGTGGGTGGGTGATACAGCAGCAGCCATTTTGTACCAGTAGTCCCACAGATTAGATGGTCGTGTGTTCTGTGTGTTAACGATGTCCTCTCCTATAGGACCTGATGAAGGATCTGAAGTCTGAGCTCTCTAAGAACCTGGAGAGGCTGATAATCGGCCTGATGCTGACGCCCGCTGAGTTTGACGCCAAGATGATGAGGAAAGCTATGGAGGTAGGAGGAGGTGGTGGTCAATGTATATATATACAGTGCATTGGGAAAGTATTCAGACCCCTTGACTTTTTCCACATTTTGTTACGTTACAGCCTTGTTCTAAAATTGATTAAATTGTTTTTTCCCCCCCCTCATCGATCTACACACAATACCCCATGATGACAAAGCAAAAACAGATTTTTTGAAACTTTAGCAAATTTATGAAAAATAAATAAATGAAATACGACATTTACATAAGTATTCAGACCCTTTACTCAGTACATTGTTGAAGCACCTTTGGCAGCGATTACAGCCTTGAGTCTTCTTCGGTATGATGCTACAAGCTTGGCACACCTGTATTTGGGGAGTTTCTCCCATTCTCTGCAGATCCTCTCAAGTTCTGTCATGTTGGATGGGGAGCGTCGCTGCACAGCTATTTTCAGGTCCCTCCAGAGATGTTTGATCGGGTTCAAGTCCGGGCTCTGGCTGGGCCACTCAAGGACATTCAGAGACTTGTCCCGAAGCCCCTCCTGCGTTGTCTTGGCTGTGTTCTTAGGGTTGTTGTCCTGTTGGAAGGTGAACCTTCGCACAAGTCTGAGGTCCTGAGCGCTCTGGAGCAGGTTTTCATCAAGGATCTCTCTGTACTTGGCTCCGTTCATCTTTCCCTCGATCCTGACTAGTCTCCCAGTCCCTGCTGCTGAAAAACATCCCCACAGCATGATGCTGCCACCACCATGCTTCACCGTAGGGATGGTGCCAGGTTTCCTCCAGACGTGACGCTTGGCATTCAGGCCAAAGAGTTCAATCTTGGTTTCATCAGACCAGAAAATCTTGTTTCTCATGGTCTGAGAGTCTTTAGGTGCCTTTTGGCAAACTCCAAGCGGGCTGTCATGTGCCTTTTACTGAGGAGTGGCTTCCGTCTGTCTACTCTACCATAAAGGCCTGATTGGTGGAGTGCTGCAGAGATGGTTGGGTTTCTGGAAGGTTCTCCCATCTCCACAGAGGAACTCTGGAGCTCTGTCAGAGTGACCATCGGGTTCTTGGTCACCTCCGTGACCAAGGCCCTTCTCCCCCGATTCCTCAGTTTGGCCAGGTGGCCAGCTCTAGGAAGAGTCTTGGCGGTTCCAAACTTCTTCCATTTAAGGATGATGGAGGCCACTGTGTTCTTGGGGACCTTCAATGCTGCAGACATGTTTTGGTACCCTTCCCCAGATCTGTGCCTCGACATAATCCTGTCTCTGAGCTCTACAGACAATTCCTTTGATCGTATGGCTTGGTTTTTGCTCTGACATGCACTGTCAACTGTTGGACCTTAAATAGACAGGTGTGTGCCTTTCCAAATCATGTCCAATCAATCGAATTGACCACAGGTGGGACTCCAATCAAGTTGTGGAAACAGCTGAAGGATGATCAATAGAAACAAGATGCACCTGAGCTCAATTTAGAGTTTCATAGCAAAGGGTCTGAATACTTATATAAATAAGGTATTTCTGTTTTTATTTGTAATAAATTTGCAAACATTTCTAAAAACCTGTTTTTGCTTTGTCATTATGGGGTATTGTATGTAGATTGATGAGAATTGTATTTATTTAATCAATTTTAGAATAAGGCTGTAACGTAACAAAATGTGGAAAAGTAAAGGGGCCTAAATATTTCCTAATGCACTGTAATATATAGAAATACTGAATGTATGTGGAGGTGGTGGATCTCTCAGTATGCAAGATATCTAGTAGATAAGTCTTAGAATGAGATAACATCGTCTGTTCTGTGTGATACATATTTAGTATGTGCCGCAGACAAAGGACAGCCTACAGGTACTTTCTCCTGTGGGTGGATTGATGTGTGAGATAGATATGACGAACTATGAATCAAAAAGCACAGTGAGTGAGTGAGTGAGTGAGAGATCTCAGCCTGGCATACACAGTGTTGACAAAGGTAGGAGTTTCCGTCTTGACGAAATCCAAACATACTAAAAAGATAAATCTCACTATTTACAATGGATGTGATGTTTGGTTGCTCAAACAAAACCCACAATGACAACATCCCTTTCCTATTCCAGGGGGCGGGGACAGACGAACATGCTCTGATTGAGATCCTGGTAACCAGGAGCAACGAGGAGATCCACGCCATGAACGCTGCCTACCAGGCTGGTGAGGCCTATAGCGTACTCCATCATCATCATCATCATCATCATAATAATAATAATAGCCCTCTAGTCTGTGTTATAAGCGGTTGTTGTTGACACACAGGCCATCAGACTGTTAAACAGTCACCACTAGCCGACCTACGCCCAGTACCCTGCCCTGAACCTTAGTCACTGTTACTAGCCAGCTACCGCCCGGTACTCTACCCCTGGGCTTCCCAAACTCGGTCTGGGCACTGTGTATATATATATTTATATTGCGGACTCTGACATTGCTCGTTCTGATATTTCTTACTTTTTTTTCAATGTTATTTGTTGCGGTATTTGTGTGTATTGTATTGTTTGGTATTACTGCACTGTTGGAGCTAGAAACATAAGCATTTCGCTGCACCTGCGACAACATCCGCAAAATATGTGCAACTAATAACAATTTATTTTAATTGTTCTTTCAACTGTGGTACCTGTTGTTGCCTTTAGGGGGAGCCAGTTGTTCTAGTAGCTGGTACTAAACCGTAACACACTAAAGCACTAACAGTTACCGTATCTATAAACACCTATTATGCATGAATAATAACCATGTATTAACCTCAGGCTATAAGAAGAGCATGGAGGACGCTATCCAGTCAGACACCTCAGGACGCTTCAGTCAAATCCTCACGTCGCTGGTGCAGGTAACGTTTATTCCTACGTGCATCTACAAAACCAAAGGGCCATAATATGGCCGTCCATATAATTCTATAGGAGTGAGTGAAGTCTATTCTACATAACATTACCTGTCGTGCTCTTCCTACCCCAGGGGGCGAGAGAGCAGGGTCCAGCGGACTGGGACAGAGCATTGGTGGACGCCCAGGTGAGTACGTCATGACATCATGACAACATGACTCTCGCTTCTTTTGACTTTCAATGGGGTTTATTGTGGAATATTGTTGATGCTCTTTTCAGGAACTGGCCGATGCCTGTAACGAAGACTCTGACGACATGGAGATTAAGTTCATGAGTATCCTCTGTACCAGGAGCTTCCCACATCTCAGGAGAGGTACCAGAGAAACACTGCTTCATCACTACTGACCACATCTCAGGAGTGGTACCAGAGAAACACTGCTTCATCACTAATGCAGTATTAGATAGACATATATTATTGGACATACAAGCCTCGATATCTGGCTTTTACGATTGTAATTTCTGTTTTTGCAGTGTTCCAAGAGTTTGTCCGATGCAGCAATAAGGACATTGAGCAGATCATCAAGAAGGAGATGTCTGGAGACGTGAAACAGGCCATGTATGGCATAGGTAAGGATGGCTGTGCATAGCTTACTTATTTAAGCCCTTGACTCCATAGTGGAGTATAGGCCTTTTGAGGCTGTTGACAAATTACATCTTACAGGTTTGGGTATTGTAATATTTAGTTTTTGTTGACCTATCATATCTCTCTTTCTCTCCGCAGTTTTGAGTGTAAAGAACCAGCCTAATTACTTTGCTGAGCGCCTGTACAAAGCCATGAAGGTAGGTCTATTTCTGCTGCTTTTAGAAAACGGCTCCCGTCGCAGCCCAGCCATATTTCACTGGCCTGTGGATAGCTAGCTAAATGCAGTTAGTATTAGAAGGCCTAAAGGGGATGCATTTTCTAAGCAGTTCGTGTTGTTGTTTCTGTCTACCTGGTAGGCTATGTACTGTGTGTTTTGTATTGTGTTTTGTGTTGTGTTTTGTATTGTATTTTGTATTGTGTTTTGTATTGTGTGTGTGTGGACCCCAGAAAGAGTATAGCTGTTGCTACTTCAACAGTGAATACTTGGGATCCAACTACACTGAACAAAGATAGAAACGCAACATGTAAAGTGTTGGTCCCATGTTTCATGAACTGAATTAAAAGATCCCAGAAATGTTCCATACGCACAGAAAGCTTATTTCTCTCAAAATGTTATGTACAAATGTGTTTACATCCCTGTTAGTGAGCATTTCTCCTTTGCCAAGATAATCCATCCACCTGACAGGTGTGGCATATCGAGAAGCTGATTAAACAGCATGATCATTACACAGGTGCACCTTGTGCAGGGGACAATAAAAGGCCACTCTAAAATGTGTAGTTTTGTCACACAACACAATGCCACAGATGTCTCAAGTTTTGAGGGAGCGTGCAATTGGCATGCTGACTGCTGGAATGTCCACCAGAGCTGTTGCCAGATAATTTAATGTTCATTTCTCTACCATAAGGTGCCTCCAACGTCGTTTTAGAGAATTTTGGAGTACATCCAACCGGCCTCACAACCGCAGACCACGTGTATGGTGTCGTATGGGTGAGCGGTTTGCTGATGTCAACGTTGTGAACAGAGTGCCCCATGGTGGCGGTGGGGTTATGCTATGGGCAGGCATAAGCTACGGACAACAAACACAATTGCATTTTATCGATAACAATTTGAATGCACAAAAATACTGCGAAGAGATCCTGAGGCCCATTGTGGGGCCCATTTTTTTTTTTAAAGGTATCTGTGACCAACAGATGCATATCTGTATTCCCAGTCATGTGAAATCTATAGATTACGGCTTAATTCATTTATTGTTGTTGTTTTTTCGTGGGTATTTTACCCCCGTTTTCTCCCCAATTTCGATCTTGTCTCATCGCTGCAACTCCCCAACGGGCTCGGGAGAGGCGAAGGTCGAGTCACGCGTCCTCCGAAACATGACCCGCCAAACCGCGCTTCTTAACCCGGAAGCCAGCTGTACCAATGTGTCGGAGGAAACACCATTTAACTGATGACCCAAGTCAGCCTGCAGGCGCCTGGCCAGCCACAAGGAGTTGCTAGAGCGCGATGAGCCAAGTAAAGCACCCCCGGCCAAACCCTCCCCTAACCCGGACAGCGCTGGGCCAATTGTGCGCCGCCCTATGGGACTCCCGGTCACGGCCGGTTGTGACACAGACTGGGATCGAACCCGGGTCTGTAGTGACACCTCAAGCACTGCGATGCAGTGCCTTATACCGCTGCGCCACTCGGGAGGCCCTCATTAATTTATTTAAATCGACTGACCTGTAGCTCAGTAAGACCTTTGAAATTGTTGCTTGTTGCGTTTTTTATATTTTTGTTCAGTATATATGGATAAACATGTTTCTCTTTCCTCTCTGCAGTGTTTGGGCACAGACGACAGGGCTCTCATCCGCATCATGGTCTCACGCAGTGAAGTCGACCTTTTCAATATCCGCAAAGAGTTCAAGGAGACTCACGACTGCTCTCTCCATGAATTCATCCAGGTAGAAACCATGGTTGTAAGTTTTCACATTTTACATGTCGACTGTCTGCTGCACTTTGCATATCCCTCTACATGTCCCTGTACCCTCGCTGTGTGTGTGTGTGTGTGTGTGTGTGTGTGTGTGTGTGTGTGTGTGTGTGTGTGTGTGTGTGTGTGTGCGCGTCCTGCGTGCTGCAGCACATCCTCTTTTCGTCGAGGCGGGTGGAGGGGGAACGGTGCTCTACAGCTTCCTGTGTTGGGCGGGGCTTGTGGGGCTGCGGCTGCCTTGTAGCTGTTCAGGAATTTCCCCTGCATGCTCGACTTCCTCTCTGTAGGCACGCCACCCGTGATTGGCTAGGAGATGCCGAGGCAGGAAGTGCCCAATAACAGGTTTCTACTGGCTCTCTCACGTGTAAAAGACCAGGGTTGTGTACTAAATGGCCCCCTCTTCCCCTATGGGCCCTGGTTGAAAGTAGTGCACTATATAGAGTATAGGGTTCTATTTGGGACATCCAACACCAGTAATAACTTCTGCAGGTTAGGATGGGCCTTAAATAATATCTATGAATTTCGCCATGTACCAGAGGAGGATTTAAGAGCTATTATGGAATTGGTGGGGATTGATATACGGACAGGTTGAAAGAGTCGAGAAGTCACATTCTGTAAATACAGTTGTTGGAAAAATACAATCAAATCTAACTAGATTTGAAGACATTCTTTATTGCTGTCAGCATAAAGTAAATTGCCATTTTGCTAAAAGAATGTATTTCAAAACCAATTTTGAACTTAGATTCTGACAAGTGATAACTTCTTTGCTTTCTATAAATGTCTGTCCACTAACCCTGTATGTCTCTGTTCTGTACTGTGTGTGTCTCTGTTCTGTGTGTCTCTGTTCTGTATGTGTCTCTGTACTGTATGTGTCTCTGTACTGTATATGTCTCTGTACTCTGTGTCTCTGTTCTGTATGTGTCTCTGTACTGTATGTGTCTCTGTACTGTATATGTCTCTGTACTCTGTGTCTCTGTACTGTATGTGTCTCTGTACTGTATATGTCTCTGTACTCTGTGTCTCTGTACTCTGTGTCTCTGTACTCTGTGTCTCTGTACTGTGTGTCTCTGTTCTGTATGTGTCTCTGTTCTGTATGTGTCTCTGTACTCTGTGTCTCTGTACTCTGTGTCTCTGTACTGTATGTGTCTCTGTACTCTGTGTCTCTGTACTCTGTGTCTCTGTTCTGTATGTGTCTCTGTACTCTGTGTCTCTGTTCTGTATGTGTCTCTGTTCTGTATGTGTCTCTGTACTCTGTGTCTCTGTACTGTATGTGTCTCTGTTCTGTATGTGTCTCTGTTCTGTATGTGTCTCTGTACTCTGTGTCTCTGTACTCTGTGTCTCTGTACTGTATGTGTCTCTGTTCTGTATGTGTCTCTGTTCTGTATGTGTCTCTGTACTGTATGTGTCTCTGTTCTGTATGTGTCTCTGTTCTGTATGTGTCTCTGTACTCTGTGTCTCTGTACTCTGTGTCTCTGTTCTGTATGTGTCTCTGTACTGTATGTGTCTCTGTTCTGTATGTGTCTCTGTTCTGTATGTGTCTCTGTACTCTGTGTCTCTGTACTGTATGTGTCTCTGTTCTGTATGTGTCTCTGTTCTGTATGTGTCTCTGTTCTGTATGTGTCTCTGTACTGTATGTGTCTCTGTTCTGTATGTGTCTCTGTTCTGTATGTGTCTCTGTACTCTGTGTCTCTGTACTGTATGTGTCTCTGTTCTGTATGTGTCTCTGTTCTGTATGTGTCTCTGTTCTGTATGTGTCTCTGTACTCTGTGTCTCTGTACTCTGTGTCTCTGTACTGTATGTGTCTCTGTTCTGTATGTGTCTCTGTTCTGTATGTGTCTCTGTTCTGTATGTGTCTCTGTACTCTGTGTCTCTGTACTCTGTGTCTCTGTACTGTATATTTCTCTGTACTCTATATTTCTCTGTACTGTATGTGTCTCTGTACTGTGTGTCTCTGTGTCTGTGTCTGTGTCTGTGTGACATTACTGAGTTGACAGTGCTTTTATTGTGGGAGCTGCCTCATAGACCTAACTGATTAGTACCGCCGCTCTGAATAACTTATAACCTATCATTTTTATATAGCTATATAATATGTGATATAATTAAGCAATAAGGCCCGAGGAGGCGTGGTATATTGGCCATATACCGCAAACACCTGAGGTGCCTTATTGCTATTATAAACTGGTTACAAATATAATTAGAGCAGTAAAAATAAATGTTTTGTCATACCCGTGGTATATGGTCTGATATACCACGGCTGTCAGCCTATCAGCATTCAGGGCTTGAACCACCCAGGTTATAATCTAAGTTATATAATATGTGATATAATCTAAGTTATAAACTGGGTTGTTTTTACTCTTCTAATTACCTTGGTAACCAGTTTATAATAGCAATATGTCACCTCGGGGGTTTGTAGTATATGGCCAATATACTAAGGGCTGTATCCAGGAACTCTGCGTTGCGTCGTGTATAAGAACAGCCCTTAGCCGTGGTATATTGGCCATATACCACACCCCTTCGGGCCTTATTGCTTAGTTATATAATATGTGATATAATAACGTACACTGTATAAACACTCAGTAAAAGAGACCCTAAATACTCCTTCCTCTGCTTGTATGTTAAATATTGTGTTCAAAATGTGAATTTGTCCCAAATGGTCCCCTTTTATTATATAGTGTGGGACGAAGACTTTGTTTTAGTAAGTTCCTAAAAAGCTGCTGCTTCCTCTCTCAGGGTGAAACCTCAGGGGACTACCGTAAGACCCTGCTGATTCTGTGTGGAGGAGAAGACTAGAACCACCCAGCAGGCTTCCAGAAGGTCCCAGAACACTCTAGAACCAGAACCACTCAGCAGGCTTCCAGAAGGCTTCCAGAACACCAGTGGAACTTCTGGAACCCTCTAGAACACCAACTGAAGCTGTCAATCTACAGGTCAACTGTGCTGTGCATACATCCCCATTGAACCTAGTGGGGATAGTCACTCTGCTCTGTGTGTCCCTCACCGCTGCCACTCCTCTGCCAAAGTGACCTATGACCTCAACAGCCTCCCATACAGAGTCCAAGTTCCTTTCTTCCTTCCTAGCTTTCTTGAAGTAATCACAGATCTAAATCGGTTCAAGTGATGTTAGGGTGGTAACCTTGCTATGCATACACCTATCCATAACTAAGGATGCATTTCTAAAGTATTGGAACAAGAGCCAAAGCTCTGTGCTGTCACCTCTGTGTCAGATAGCCTGTGTTCTTCATGTCAAACGTTATTTTTATTTTTATTTTAATTTTTTACAGAACCCCTGTAGTTTTAGTGGTATTTACATTGAAAGTGAGAGATAGGAAACTGCTTGGCTATGTGTCTAACTGTCAACCTATTGAGGACTAAAAGTGTTTGTATGGCGCTTCTACAATGCAATAGGTCATCCATCCAATGAAAACTGTATGGTTTTAGTAACGTTACATTATGTCTCCTCAAATAAAAGGAATGTGTCGTAGTACTGTATTCTGTTGGCTTTTCTTTTTATGAAGACAGATTTGATTGATAAGTAATGACTATATTGTGATAAATGCATATAAAATGCATACATGTTCAAACAGCATTGAATAGATTTAAACCAAATTGCTCTTAGGTCCATATTCTGTGCAATATGCACATATGACAGAGTAATGCCCCATTTGGCTGAGATAATGTGAAGGTAATGTCCTGTGTTGATCTCTTCTGAGAGATACAGCAGGGCCAGGGTTAAGGCCGTGTCAATGTCTCTACGTCCCAAATGGCAACTTATCCCCTATATAGTGCACTACTTTTTACCAGAGCCCTATGAGCCCTGGTCAAAAGTAGTGCACTACAAAGGGAATTTGGTGCCATTTGGGCCGTGTCACTGCGGTTCACTATGGGCAGCTGCCCGGGTAGCTTCTGGGTGCAGTTCAGTGATTAAATATTGATGTTGGCAGCGGGCACTGGGCAGAGCTTTAGAATCAGGAAACTCCCTGGTTACGTCCCAAATGGCACCCTATTCCCTACACATAGTGCACTACTTTGGACCAAAGCCCTATGGGCCCAGGTCAAAAGTAGTGCACTATTTAGGGAGTAGCAAATGGTACCCCATTCGGAATAGGCTACTATTTTGGACACAGCATTTTGTATAATTAATTCACTGCCTCTCTCACTGAACCAACGATGCATAAAAGTTATCCAATCTTAAAAAACAGAGTATGTTGTGGTCTTCTGAGTCCTCATAAATCACTGTCTCACAAAGACGGGTTGATGCCCATTTGAAAGATTTTATGAAATGAAATCATCAAAGTCATTGAAAGGTTTTTCATAGTTAATATAATAGCTAGTTAATTTTTATGCACATCCATTACGTTCTTTATTTCTCTGACCAGGACTATGAGAGATGTGATATACAGTGGGGAGAACAAGTATTTGATACACTGACGATTTTGCAGGTTTTCCTACTTACAAAGCATGTAGAGGTCTATAATTGTTATCATAGGTACACTTCAACTGGGAGAGATGGAATCTAAAACAAAAATCCAGAAAATCACATTGTATGATTTTTAAGTAATTAATTTGCATTTTATTGCATGACATAAGTATTTGATACATCAGAAAAGCAGAACTTAATATTTGGTACAGAAACCTTTGTTTGCAATTACAGAGATCATACATTTCCTGTAGGTCTTGACCAGGTTTGCACACACTGCAGCAGGGATTTTGGCCCACTCCTCCATACAGACCTTCTCCAGATCCTTCAGGTTTCGGGGCTGTCGCTGGACAATACGGACTTTCAGCTCCCTCCAAAGATTTTCTATTGGGTTCAAGTCTGGAGACTGCCTAGGCCACTCCAGGACCTTGAGATGCTTCTTACGGAGCCACTCCTTAGTTGCCCTGGCTGTGTGTTTCGGGTCATTGTCATGCTGGAAGACCAATCCACGACCCATCTTCAATGCTCTTACTGAGGGAAGGAGGTTGTTGGCCAAGATCTCGCGATACATGACCCCATCCATCCTCCCCTCAATACGGTGCAGTCGTCCTGTCCCCTTTGCAGAAAAGCATCCCCAAAGAATGATGTTTCCACCTCCATGCTTCACGGTTGGGATGGTGTTCTTGGGGTTGTACTCATCCTTCTTCTTCCTCCAAACACGGCGAGTGGAGTTTAGACCAAAAAGCTCTATTTTTGTCTCATCAGACCACATGACCTTCTCCCATTCCTCCTCTGGATCATCCAGATGGTCATTGGCAAACTTCAGACTGGCCTGGGGGGGGGGGGGGGGAACTTTGATAGACGAGGAAATCCCCTCAATATCTGGAAGGTGTTCTCATGCACTTAAGGAAATTACGAATATTATGGATATATTGGAACTAGTGGATATATGGAGGCTTAAATATCCTGACCTAGTGAGATATACTGTTGAAGTCGGAAGTTTACATACACCTTAGCCAAATACATTTAAACTCAGTTTTTCACAATTCCTGACATTTAATCCTAGTAAAAATTCCCTGTCTTAGGTCAGTTCGGATCACCAATTTATTTTAAGAATGTGAAATGTCAGAATAATAGTAGAGAGAATTATTTATTTCAGCTTTTATTTCTTTCATCACATTCCCAGTGTGTCAGAAGTTTACATACACTCAATTAGTATTTGGTAGCATTGTCTTTAAATTGTTTAACTTGGGTCAAACGTTTCGGGTAGCCTTCCGCAACTTCCCACAATAAATTGGCTGAATTTTGGCCCATTCCTCCTGACAGAGATGGTCAGGTTTGTAGGCCACGCTTTTTCAGTTCTGCCCACAACTTTTCTATAGGATTGAGGTCAGGGCTTTGTGATGGCCACTCCAATACCTTGACTTTGTTGTCCTTAAGCCATTTCGCCACAACTTTGGAAGTATGCTTGGGGTCATTGTCATTTGGAAGACTCATTTGCGACCAAGCTTTAACTTCCTGACTGATGTCTTGAGATGCTGCTTCAATATATCCACATAATTTTCCTTCCTCATGATGCCATCTATTTTGTGAAGTGCACCAGTCCCTCCTGGCCAAACAGTTCTATTTTTATTTCATCAGACCAGAGGACATTTCTCCAAAAAGTACGATCTTTGTCCCCATGTGCAGTTGCAAACCGTAGTCTGGCTTTTTTATGACGGTTTTGGAGCAGTGGCTTCTTCCTTGCTGAGCGGCCTTTCAGGTTATGTCGATATAGGACTCATTTTACTGTGGATATAGATACTTTTGTACCTGTTTGCTCCAGCATCTTCACAAGGTCCTTTGCTGTTGTTCTGGGATTGATTTGCACTTTTCGCACCAAAGTACATTCATCTCTTAGAGACAGAACGCGTCTCCTTCCTGAGCGGTATGACGGCTGCGTGGTCCCATGGTGTTTATACTTGCATACTATTGTTTGTAGAGATGAACGTGGTACCTTCAGGCGTTTGGAAATTGCTCCCAAGGATGAACCAGACTTGTGGAGGTCTACAATTTTTTTTCTGAGGTCTTGGCTGATTTCTTTTGATTTCCCCATGATGTCAAGCAAAGAGGCACTGAGTTTGAAGGTAGGACTTGAAATACATCCACAGGTACACCTCCAATTTTACATTTTTTATATTTAAGTCATTTAGCAGACGCTCTTATCCAGAGCGACTTACAAATTGGTGCATTCAACTTAGGATAGCCAGTTGGACAACCACCACTGGGGGAGGAGGGGTGTAGAAGGATGACTGTTATACTATTCCAGGTATTCCTTAAAGAGGTAGGGTTTCAAGTGTCTCCGGAAGGTGATCAGTGACTCCGCTGTCCTGGCGTCATGGGGGAGCTTGTTCCACCATTGGGGTGCCAGAGCAGCGAATTGCTTTGACTGGGCTGAGCGGGAACTGTGCTTCCGTAGAGGTAGGGGAGCTAGCAGGCCAGAGGTGGATTAACGCAATGCCCTTGTTTGGGTGTAGGGACTGATCAGAGCCTCAAGGTAAGGAGGTGCCGTTCCCCTCACAGCTCCGTAGGCAAGCACCATGGTTTTGTAGTAGATGCGAGCTTCAACTGGAAGCCAGTGGAGTGTGCGGAGGAGCGGGGTGACATGAGAGAACTTGGGAAGGTTGAACACCAGACGGGCTGCAGCGTTCTGGATAAGTTGTAGGGGTTTAATGGCACAGGCAGGGAGCCCAGCCAACAGCGAGTTGCAGTAATCCAGACGGGAGATGACGAGTGCCTGGATTAGGACCTGTGCCGCTTTCTGTGTAAGGCAGGGTCGTACTCTGCGAATGTTGAAGAGCATGAACCTGCAGGATCGGGTCACCGCTTTGATGTTAGCGAAGAACGACAGGGTGTTGTCCAGGGTCACGCCAAGGTTCTTTGCACTCTGGGAGGAGGACACAATGGAGTTGTCAACCGTGATGGCGAGATCATGGAGCGGGCAGTCCTTCCTCGGGAGGAAGAGCAGCTCCGTCTTGCCGAGGTTCAGCTTGAGGTGGTGATCCGACATCCACACTGATATGTCTGCCAGACATGCAGAGAGGCGATTCGCCACCTGGTTATCAGAAGGGGGAAAGGAGAAAATTAATTGTGTGTTGTCTGCGTAGCAATGATAGGAGAGACCATGTGAGGATATGACAGAGCCAAGTGACTTGGTGTATAGAGAGAATAGGAGAGGGCCTAGAACTGAGCCCTGGGGGACACCAGTGGTGAGAGCACGTGGTGCAGAGACAGATTCTCGCCACGCCACCTGGTAGGAGCGACCTGTCAGGTAGGACGCAATCCAAGAGTGAGCAGCGCCGGAGATGCCCAACTCGGAGAGGGTGGAGAGGAGGATCTGATGGTTCACATTATCAAAGGCAGCAGATAGGTCTAGAAGGATAAGAGCAGAGGAGAGAGAGTTAGCTTTAGCAGTGCGGTGAGCCTGACACAGAGAAGAGCAGTCTCAGTTGAATGACCAGTCTTGAAACCTGACTGGTTTGGATCAATGTCATTCTGAGAGAGATAGCATGAGAGTTGGCTAGAGACGGCACGTTCAAGCGTTTTGGAGAGAAAAGAAAGAAGGGATACTGGTCTGTAGTTGTTGACATCGGAGGGATCGAGTGTAGGTTTTTTGAGGAGGGGTGCAACTCTCGCTCTCTTGAAGACGGAAGGGACATAGCCAGCGGTCAAGGATGAGTTGATGAGCGAGGTGAGGTAAGGGAGAAGGTCTCCGGAAATGGTCTGGAGAAGAGAGGAGGGGATAGGGTCAAGCGGGCAGGTTGCTGGGCGGCCAGCCGTCACAAGTCGCAAGATTTCATCTGGAGAGAGAGGGGAGAAAGAAGTCAAAGCATAGGGTAGGGCAGTGTGAGCAGGACCA